CCTACTCCTACTCCTACTCCTACTCCCACTCCCACTCCTACTCCTACTCCCACTCCTACTCCTACTCCTACTCCCACTCCCACACCTACTCCCACTCCTACTCCAACACCGACTCCAAGCCCCAGCCCCAGCCCAGCCTCCACCAGCGCCAACGAAGAGCCAGAGGTCACGGCCCGCCTGCTCCCAGAGGAAGCTGCACCTGCTCTGGCTTCCACATCTTCCCCCTCCCCCTCCTCCTCCTCCTCCTCTTCTTCTTCGTCTGCCTCTTCACCAGCCTCCTCACCCTCCTCTCCTTCTGACAGGCAAGGGGCTTTTGCAGCAGGCCTGGACTCTTCCTCCTCCTCCTCAGCCTCGTCCAGTGCTGCAGTTGCAGCCGATCCCTTGGATGACACCGCCTCCGTTGTCACCTCTATCACCGGGGGCACCGCCACCAGCAGCCGTGAGAGCAGCCCTTCAGCCAGCCCCGCCACCACCCCCGTCCCCAGCTCCCAGCTCAAGGAGAAGAGGAGGACCGAGGAGGCTCAGGCCTTTTCCAGCTTTCCCGAAAAGAGGCCGCGGCTGGATGATCGTCAGTCCTTTCGTACCACAATTGACGGTGTCCGCACGGAGAAGCCGCAGCCTACAACAGAAGAGCCCAAGGTGCCGCCAATCCGGGTAAGTATTTATTCCCTGAACCCAAAGGTTCAAAGGATCTGTAAATGTCTTTCTTCAGAAATTAGTTTTCTTGCAAAGTTTAACCCTCTGTCTTTGTTTCACTGTCTCAGATTCAACTGTCCAGGATCAAACCTCCCTGGGTCAAAGGCCACCCCACCTACCAGATCTGCCCAAGGATCGTGCCCCCCGGCGAGGGCTCGCGGCGGTCGGGGACGGGGGGCGCGCGCACCTTGGCGGACATCAAAGCCCGCGCCCAGCAAGCCCGCGCCCAACGCGAGGCCGCTGCTGCTGTTGCAGCCACTAGCGAAGGGACAGGGACGGACGGGGTCAGGCTGCGGCCTGCTACTGGGCTACCGGATAGCAGCAATGGACGACGAGCGAGAGAGCATCCAGGACCTATCGAGCCCGGAGGAGGAGGAGGAGGAGGAGGAGGAGGAGGACGAGGAGGAGGAGGAGGAGGAGGAGGACGAGGAGGAAGTGGAAGAAGGGGAGGTGGTGGGATGGAGGAGCAGGGATCGTCTTCGGGCTCTAATTCGTCTGGAACACAACTACAGCTTCACAATGTAGAGCCTGTGTCCCAGTCTTCTCCGTCGCTGTCCACTACCTCTACCTCAATGTCCCTGGAGCCCCCTCAGACCCCGAGTCCTCCTCCAGAGGAGCTCGCTGTGGGGGCAGAAGATGGAGAGGAGATGGAAGCGGCAAACATCCGGAGTTCCTTGAATGGTCTCGCAGAGAAGGCAGCGGAGTCCTCCTCTCCGGAGTCAGACTCTGTGTCCAAGTCTTTGACCACCAAGTCGGCCAGGCAGAGCCGGGACCCCGACTCTGCTGCTCCTCCCTCTGAGAGAGCTAACCCAGGTCGTGAAAAACCCTCCTTGGTCGCAACCTCAATCCCAGATTCCCTTCCCAGGTTTGGAGCTCAGGGTGTGGACGTTATTCAGACACTTGCCAGCTCCTGTCAGCCCAAAGAGCAGCTGAAGGGAAAGGAGGCGGGGCTAGGCGGTGTCATCCAACATGGCTCACATCATGTGGACCCACAGGATATATTTTCTCATTCAGCTACAGAAAGAAAGCAGGCAAATGCATCCTCGCCCCAACATGCGGACTCCTCTGAGAAAGATGACGAGGCTGGGACGCACAGCGACTCAACAGAAACGGCCTCAGACTGCGAGAATGAGAATGATAACCACCCCGATGAGGACTGGTGCCCCCAACTGCGCACGCCGAGAAATGGTCAGCTGGTCATCTGCAGCCCTCCTCCTCCTCCTCAGAACCAGCAGCCAGTCATCCACGCCCACGTGTCCAGCCGCCAAGGTCAGACGGTCATTCAGTCCTGCTTCCCCAACGGCCTGCCTAATCCTCCGCACAGCCGATCCCACTCCACAAACGTTGTGGTCAAAATGGAGCCTGGAGAGGATTGTAGAATCTCAAGACAGAGCTCGGCTGAAGACGAGTATCGTGGAGGGTTAAAGTCGGCCATCACTCACCCGGGCTCCGCTGCCTCCAAGAGACTGGCGAGCTCAGCCAGAGCTGTATCCACTGTGGAGGCCAACAACCCCTTGGTCACTCAGCTGCTACAGGGCAGTCTGCCCTTGGAGAAAGTTCTGCCCACACACTCTGCCAACAGATTAGAGATCAGCCGTTTACCAGGACCGCAACCCAGACCGCCCGTGGCAAGAACCCCAGGGGCACGAGGGAGGTCTGATGTCTCAGCCCAGTCTCCAAGCCTGGATCTGTCTGCAGCATCCCAGAACCACACCAAGTCTCCACCAGGCCGTCCAGTCTCCTGTCTTATGGAGGCCCCGGCTGTGTCCCAGTATCAGTCCCAGCAGGCCCCCGGAGCGGTCCCAGTCATCACCTCCCTGCCCACCTCCTCCTCTACAAGTTCAATCTATAGAAGTAAGGCAGAACTCAGCGCTGTGGAGGCTGCAGCCGTCAAAGACTCTCACGGTCCTCAGGGGCTCAATCCAGATAGACCACAGAACTCCCTTCGCACTCTACATAACGGTCCCTCTCCACCCAAGGCGGACCCCTGTCCCACAAACGTGTTGCCGACTATTAAGATCAACTGGCGTCCACCTCAGTCTCAGCTCCCCCACCCTCACCAACAGCAGCTGTCTCCTGCACCCTCTGTGAAGAGTGAAGTTGGTGCTCGCCCATCTTGCCAGGCTTTCTCCAAATCATCCCCCACCAAACCCCTGAGTGTTACCAAAAAGGAGCCCGGCAGCTCTTTGGACAGCTACTTGAGCGGAGGGGCGATGGAAGGACTCCTCAACATGGAGATGACTTTTGCCAGAATGGCAAAAAAGGAGCACAACAAAGGTCCCTACTCCTCTGGTTCCCCCTCCTCCTCCTCCCCGTCGCCCTCCTCCTCCCTTCCCTTCCATCTGTACGGGAAGCTCCCCAAGCAAGGAGGAGTCAGCTACACAGCAAACGTGTCGGTGATGGATAACGGCGGATTCGCTCGCAGCATGGCAGACAGTGTCCTCCAGCTGCGCCCCCGCTTGACCTCCACCCAGGCCACCCTCAGCATCCAGGCCTTTACTGACAGTGCGACCGAGGAGGTGGCGCTTAAGTGCTCGTGCCGCCTCAAAGCCATGATCATGTGCCAAGGCTGCGGTGCCTTCTGCCATGACGATTGCATCGGGCCCTCCAAACTATGCGTGTCGTGTCTGGTGGTCAGATAGTGTGTTACTTTGCTATCTGTGCTATCAGCATCAGCAGCAGGACTGGGGGGGGCTCAGAGTGTACAGAACACAGGAGGAGCCTGACAGGCAGGATTTGCCTTGTATGATATATTTGGTCTGTATTTTTTGTTGTTGCAGATTTTCAGATTTTTTTTTAGCTGTATTGATATATTATTATTATTATTATGATTGTTGTTATTATTATTATTATTATTATTATTGTTGTTGTTATAATTATTGTGAATTCGGGGCATGATCGATTGTAAATTGTGCCTTTTTTTTGTTTTCTCTCCTCAAAAACATTTACCTCATCTTATCTCGCTCCACCTGTCATCATTCGGTGGCCATCATTGTTTTGGTCCCTTGTCTCCTCAGTGGACAGGGACTTATTCTTGTCTCTTTGCGCAAAGAAGTATTTTTTTAACCATTAAAATGAGTAAATGACATTGTTTCACTGCTTTTGAGTTTTTGCTCTTTTCAACTTTCTTCACGTTCAGTACAATCCAGCAAAGCAACAAAGGGCCAAACATGGCTGTTTCATGGATCCCACAGATCTGAAATGAAAGGACAAGTGCTCAGTTAAGATATACATCTTCCCAATAATGCCCTTCTGATATGTAACATAACCTACCTTATTGCCCTTAGTTGCCCCACAACCAAAACAGCATTGCCACCTTCAACAGACCCAGGCTCCACCCCCACAAGCTAACCATTTAGACTATAGTCTAATGGGAACCAAGCACCAGGAAACTACCGGGTTTGTCAAGTGGCAACCTCCCTTCGCTGGTGTTTCGCCCACTTAGTCCCACAGCACCTCTGGAATGCTGGACAGTGAGCTCTGGCATCAAAGAGCCTTCTCCCTCCATGCTAGTTCTCACCGCCCACCATACCCACTCGCAGGACTTCTATATATTACCTACTTTACCACATGACCATCAAAGACCAAACAGTATTGCCACCTTCAACAGACCCAGGCTCCGTCCCTGCAAGCTCCAGGAAGTGGCAAAACAACACTGATACTAACCCACATTGCCCTTAATGGCACCCATGAACAAAATGCATTAAAAATATGATTTTAAGGTTTCACTAGCCCCTCCAAAAAGAAAAAAAAATGATGAGAAATGTCCATTCTCTCTGTCTTTTGCCTGCTCCCCTTTTCAGAAAACGTGTGCTCAAACAGGCTGTTTGGAGATTTTCCCTTCATGACATCATAAAGGGCAGTAACCCCTCCCCCAGGTGGGTGACACTCCCATAGCTAGGTGTTTGTTCTGCCCTCTGAGTCTGCCTTGTCACTGTAAACAATAGGACATGGAGCAAGAAAGACCGAGTACACCCAAGCCCTTCCAAAGAGGGGGCGTGGTCAGACACAGCTCATTTACATATTTAAAGGTACAGCCACAGAAACAGCTTGTTCTGAGCAGGGCTGAAATAGAGGGGTTTATAGGCATGATCAAATACAGGATCAGAGTGGATTTAGAACAAGAAACTTCACACACATGTTTTGAGAAGCTCTGAGACTTATTTACACTGGTTGAAGAGGAGGAGAATATGTGACCTTGTGTGCAACAACCCTGTGCTTAAAAATTCAAAAGCTTGTATGAAGTTTACTTAAAACTGAAACCTAAAAAGCAAAACCTAAAATAACCACAAGTGGAGTCCAAATGTTCTGCGGGTTAACCTTTATTTCAAGAGCAACGTAAAGACTAATTCGTACACAGCCATCGTTAACACAGACAATACAAAATAAATATTCACCATCACTTTGTTCTTCATCACCAAATAAATACCAAATATATGTGCAGCTCGTTATTCCCAGTGTATTGCAATGTACTGAAAATAGTTTGTGAAAATAAAAAGGAAAAATCATATAAACAGAAGCACCGAAAAAAACAAACAAAACTCTTTAGAAAATTATTAAAAAACTTTCAGTTACAAAATATTTGCACTTAAAAAGATCCCAGTATTTTTAAATAAATAATAAGATATATAAAACAATTCATAGTTGATATCTTAAAATATTTCCTCTTTGTCCAACAACGCAGAGGAAATGATTTCCTGCCTCTTGGTTTTAAAATCTTCTCAGGTAGTGATTTAAAATCAAACAGAAGATTAATAAATAGATAATGAATAATAAATAGGCCAAAGAAGAAAATAAATACAGCAGACATGAATGAATAAGTTATTAAACCAACATTTTGCAAAGGACTTAAATAGTTACACAGCAATAGTAAGAATGAATCTACAAACTAGTCCTGGAGGTGCAACATCACTATGCTCATATAGAATACTATCAACATTATCGAATGGAGATGGGAAGTGTTCACTAACTAAGAGGATCTGCTCAGCTAAGGCCGTATACTGCACTCCTGATTTTGTTCTGTTTTCGACCTCGGGTCGCCCCTTCGCTTACAGTAACAGTTTGATTCCGGTGTACCACCACACGCTTTACACCCACACCCTCATGTCTTCACACATACCGTCATAAAAAGCAACATGCAAACAGCAAACAAATGCAAAGAACAGATGACAAAGTTCCAAATGAGAAGAATTAATTACATACAGTATCTAAAGGGTTTGGAAAGAAAGATTGGAGTTGTCACTGTGATGCCCCCCCCCCCGTCCTCTTCTTTCTCTCCGTCAAACCTCGATGCCCTTCACCGCCTGGTTGATGGACTCGAGCAGAGCCCGGTTCTCAGGGTTCTGGTAGCAGTCTTTATTGGTAAACATGTGGGTCAGGGTGTCGACGTAGCTGTCGAAGTTCTGCTCGGACATCGGCTCCTGCTGGAAACATAGACGTCAGAAAATGAGAATCGGCGACATTGTACAAAATTGTACTATTTTATTACTAAGGTTACATTATTATGTGTTATATTTGCATTCAAAGAAGTTGAGATAAGTCAGAGCTGTGGTTGCGAGATAGTAGGAGGCAGGAGGGAGTTCATGCTAGTTGTTTATATTTACCATTGTAGGCAGGCGGATGTTGGTCAGGCTGCGGATCAGCGCCTGACTCAGGCCGGATAGCTCCAGGAACAAGGCCTCATTTTTGTCCTCAATTTGTTTATTCTCCTCCTCCATGTTCATCAGGTTCATCTCCATTGAAGAGATCTGAAGGAGATAGACACACAGAAGTCTTATATAAATGCTTCACTTAATTTTTTCTGGTCCTTTTCAAACCAGCAGCGGCTCCTGGGTGTAGGCTTAAACATACAAAGATTTATCTTTACTGTATTACCAGAAGCAGTGCAGCTGAGCTCACCTGAGTGTGCAGGTTCATCATGTCGGCCTCCATCTCTGAGTTGGACTCACTCAGATCGTTGATCTCCTTGTTGAGCTGCTTGATGTCCTCGTCGTTGTCCAGAACTGAGTAAGAACAACAACACCAATTAGCAAACAACATCAAGACAAATGTGGATTCAACCTATGAAGGCTGTTGATTTTTTCAATGCACGCATCCATCCATTGATACAAACAATCAATTTTCAATCTCATCCCAGGTGGTGTCCTGAGGTGTATCTGGCAAGTTAAGATACTTCCTCCCTAAAACTTGCTATGTCTTGACTCAATCGTCTTTTGCCGGTCTAACCTGTCTTGAAAACCAGAAAGTGACTGGAAGGATCTTATCCAGGTGCCTTAGCTGCCTCCTTTCAATCAAAAGAGCAGTGGCTGTATTCTCAGCATTTCCACTGCGCATCTGCATCTCATGTTTTCTCGTTCTACCTAGCTCTTGGTCATAATTGATGGGTTGAATGTAGATTGAGAAGTTAATAAAAGTTTTTCCTCCGGTCCAGTTCCTTAAACAATCTTTCCCATTTAACACCTGCACAGCTGCTAATGCTGAACCATTAAGCTGTGGGATCTCAAGACACCAAATGCACTTGCAGTCCTTCACTTTATGCCGTAACTCACTTCTAACCTGGAACGAGCACTATTTAAGCTATTTAAGAGGCATTGCTTAAAATGTTAGGACCAAAGTTGTTCTCTTACCATCACTGGCTCTAAACTTTGCAGTGATGTACTCGTCTCCTGGGAACTTGGTCCTTTTCTTGTTGGCTGAAGCTCTGGGACAACCTGAGAGACTGAGAGGGGCAGCTGGTCAGAATCAAGGTTCATGGGGTTTAGCTAGCAAATTCATCTCCATGAAACACACTTTAAATCTATGTTACGGCTCTCAGATATTAAGGATACCTGCGATGTGTAAGGAAGCTTCCGTTTGCATGTCCAGAGCCGTCACATCCTGGCGTCGGGCAGGTTGGGCCCTCAGTCTTGAAGGCCTTCCAGGAGAACGGCGTGCCATTAAGAAGACCTTCCTTCTGCCGGCGTGCTGCAAGCGGACAGCCGTAGGCACTGCGGTGGGTGGCATACTTCCCACTGATGTGGCCCAGACTGTCACAGCCAGGAACTGGACACCTGAAGACAAAAAGTAGTCGTCAAGAAACTGTAGACATTTTGTCCCAAAGCATAATGTCTCACAATAAAATATCTTTGCAACCATGATAGACGTTTGTGTTTGGTAAACTCTACAACAACTGACCTGAAAGAGACTTAAATATTTGAATACCAATGAAAAGTTCAGGGGCTTAACCAAATACACTCTAAACTTTATGAATTTTAGTCATCTTCAATGATTGAGAAATTAAAACCTTGCTTTGGTATGGCGTTCCCCAGGGTTCAATTCTTGGTCCTCTGCTTTTTTCATGACTTCTATTGGTACTGGTACTGGACTGGTTCTTTGGTCAAAGTCTCTTATGCCTTGGCTTTATCTGATGTTAACCTTACTTTACTTGATTGTGTGTACTATAACATTTTGTCCTGTAGCACTTTAATACTGTTTTGAAGAAAACACATTACGTAGTGGGAGGCTTCAGTTGCTCACCTGAGCAGTTCTGAGTCCTCCTTGTCGTCCTTGGTGGGGGTCACTTTGATTCCACTTTTCTTGGCTCGAGGGCATCCGGACAGACTTAAAAAAAAGGACCAATCAAAGTCAGTACAGAATAATTGATGGAACAACAGGCAGGGACATCAGGGGAAAGGCTCCTCCTACCTTCTATGTGAAGCGTAGTTTCCTGTGATGTGGCCTGAACCGTCGCAACCTGGAGTCGGACACCTGAAACACACACAGAGACACACAGATGCTCTTTCACTCCACAGACTTACATCGACTGCAGACAACAGGCAGAAACCAACTTGTCCTCACTACATAATCAGAGTTCATAGTTTTTGTTTGGAATTTGTTTAAATATTGGACTTAATTATAGTTGATTTGTTAGATATTAGAGTTAAAAGGAGAGCAGGGACAGAGCTGTAGCTGCAGACTGAGTGCTCAGTGAACATGTTGGAGGTGAGAGACAGGAGAAAGCAGACATACTTTAGTTCAGCTGTGTGGGCAGCCATGAGGGTCCGAAGTGATTTATCAGCAAGAGGACAGCCTGACAGACTGGAAGATAGGTCAGAGAGAGAACGTCAGAAAACCAGACTGAGAACAGGATGTCTGAGCATGAGTGAAGGAAAGAGCCAGAACCTGAACCTGGACTGCAGAGCCAGGACAGAACACACACACGGAGGACAGGGGTTAAACTTAATGTATCTCTATAGTAGTGGAAAAGGTGGGCAGTGGAAAATAAACAGAGAATGTGTGAATGTAGAAGGTGAAACTTCTTCATCTAAATTAGAAGATCACGGACTTTGACTTTACTTGAAAACAGCGAAATCGCCCCCTGCTGGCGGTTACAAAAAAAAGCAGGTTTATTGCACTTAAATGATGGCTTCATTATTTCAGACCTGAAAAACAGTCTGTTGTTCGAGCTAAACAGCTTCACATGGAGGCAGTATCTGGGGCATGAATCATGTGCAAGAAATAATAATTTAACTAGTATGTAAAATACAAGCAGTATTTATGTGCATGCCAACCTCTGGATAGGTAATGTATGGACAGAGGCTATAGGCTCTTAAAAAAAATAATATATGTGCTCTTATCAACCGGCTTTTCAACTTCCAACATATTGTACTTAACACAGCTGCACATTTTGCCTCCTTGTGGCTCGTTTGAACGGAGAAATTTACCTTTTTTTTGATCCAAGATCCGAGTAAGTAAAATTCACTAGTAAGGGGCGGGACTCTGACTCTGAGTTCTGATCTAATTCATGCCACATTTCAACAGACTGGAATCAAATTTAGATAAATATCACCCTCTTTCATTCATTGTTTTCACACCAAATTATTGAACCGTAAAAAATACACAGCAATGAGTTACTTTTCTTTTCTTTACAGGATTTATCAATGTAAGAGGCAGAAATCCAATAAAATCAAACTTCAGCTTCAACAATTCACCTGTTTGTTGAATTGGACCATCAATGTGAAGAGCGAACTTACCTTCGATGTGATGCGTAGTTGCCGGTGATGTGTCCGCTGCCGTCACAGCCCGGAGTGGGACATCTAAAAAAAGACACATACTCACAGGTCAGCCTTTAAGAGTTAGCTGACACTGATGAACCACAAAAACACAAATCAGAACTCAACACTGTTTACACATCACAAAGGGGAGACTGGAGCGTCACATCAACCAAAACTCAAGTCTGGTGTTGTTTTTTGACAGTTTAATAAATGTCCCAGTCTATCAAAGTCCTCTGTGGTGATTGATGCTCGTTCTGTCTGAACTTTAAATGTTTTCAAATCCTTTGAGCACATCTGGCTTCAGCTAACTGAGACAATATTTCAGTGTGAACTGTGAACACAAAGTTAGTACGGAGGTCAGGTTGACTTACATGAGAATGTCCTTTTTGCTGTCTTTGGGTGGAAACTTGACCTTGAAGCTGCTGGTGGTGACCTCACCGGGGTATGTCCTGTCCTCCAGGTTCTCCGGGTCCTCCTCCTCACAGTCAGACGAAGTATAAGAGGGAGCCGCACACTCCACCTGAAGACGCGTACAGATGCATGATAATCAGCTAATAACAGGTGAGTGACACAGTGTTCCACTCTGTTTTTTTTAGTGAGCATGTCAGTACCTCTTCGTGGTCTTCCTCTTTGACCCCACTGGATTTGGTGAAGTCCAGCGGCCCCTCCCACTCTGGCTGAGCGTGGCCCTGAGACAAGGAGGCTGGGATGAGTTGAGAGGATGAAGACGAGGACGATGAGGGCTCTGGGAGCGGCATTCCCTCCCTCTTTGTCTTCTTCATGCTGAGGTCCAAGGTGCCATTCTCGTCCACTTCAATGTCCGACTCCTGCAGGGTTTAAAAAAAAAATTAAAGTTAGAGGAAAACCTGGTCCAAATAAATCCAGTAAGTGTGACTGAAGAGGGGGCATACCTTGGGGCAGGGTTCCCTGGGCTTGGTGCTGAGGGTCTCGGGTCTCTCCCAGCAGCGTGTGGACAGGTTGAGGATGGCTGTTGCCGCCATGTGAGCCGCCTCTGCGTCCTGGCTGTAGTCGTAACCACTGGAGGATGACGAAGCGCTCTTAGGGAAACCTCCTGACACGCTGTGGCTTGGGGAGGGGGCCTTAGGGAATGGTTTAGCTGTGTGGGAAAGGGAGAATCAATTCGCTGAAACAAAAATATGAGAGCAGAAAACTATGCAGCCTGAACCTTCTTAACATCACACAGCCCATAAAGTGCGGTTTAAATGTTTATGAAGTGTGTTTTGTTCTCACATTTGAAGGCTTTAGGTGATGTTTCAGTGCTGCTGGGCGTCTTTGGAATGAGCATGCGCTTTCCAAACACCTGGACGTCGAAGCTTGCATAGTCAAAAGACACCTTGGAGTATTTCTCCAGCTCCTTGGCCAGGTTGGCGCGGGGCGTGGTGGTCACTGTGTTTGGCCTGAAGCTGCCATACTGAGGGATCTCCAGCTGTTTCACAAAACACATGGGCCTGCAGGAAAAGTCAAGCCAATGTTTATTACTTCCCCGCGAGTGACATGGACACATGGTGTTTGCATGAATAAAAAATAAAAAAACAAGCATGCAGGGCAGATGTCTGACCTGAGCACTCTGTCAGAGTTGGAAGAGGGTTCGCTGGATGGAGCCTGTAAATGAACCTGCTTGTCCTGGCCTTTGTTCAGCTTCACTGCTGCAGCGATGGGGCAGCCGGACAGACTGAGTGGACAAAAGACAAAGAGTTCTGATCACTTGTGTAGGTATGTGTACGTCGTACTAGAGGATTGTATTCCTCTGCAGGGATTCACAAAATATTTGGATAGAAGTGACCGTATTTTGACAAGACTAAGGACAGAAGCTCCAACAGCATCATGCTGTCACCCTGATCTATACATAACTTTATTCATATTAAATATTTATTTTGATGCTTTGATTGTCACCTTGATGTCAGTATCAGACCCATTAAATGAAAAGTGGTGTGGCTCTGTAGGTATTCTTTATGTCCAAAGTTTTATTAGCAGGACCACGCCTAAAACCACACATCCAATTACCTGACAGCCTACTTAACACCTGGTCACCTCACCACACCCCATTTGTCTCAGATCCTTCTACCCACCCTCCCTTCCCTCCTTCTCATCCATTAACCCTCCTTCCTCATCCCTTCCCTCCTTCCTTATCCATTCTCTCCTTCCTCATCCCTTCCATCCTTCCTTATCCCTTCCTTCCCTACCCCCTCATCCCTTCCCTCTCACAGTCTGGGGCCGTAATCAGTTCGGGTGGATCCATACCCGAGACGGAACCCCCCACTCTGAGTCTCTCGCTCGCCCGATCAACCTCCCAGACCAGCCTAAAAGAAGACGGCCATCTCACACCTCCACCCCTCTCATACACATACATCTGTCAATATATCTTAGAATTCAAATTAAATGTTCAAATTAATACTGTTGTGGCGTGGTCCTTGCTAGTGAAATGTTACTGTCCTCGTCTCAGGACATTTGCAAGCTTCCTGTCAGCTATGTTTGTTATCTGTGTTTTGTTTTTTTTTACCTTAAGGGGTAAAGGATTCTGAAAACGCCAATCAGTGTCAGCCATGTCTCTTCTTAGCTTTCTGTTTTCTAGTGTTGTAGTCAAGACCAAACTAACCGAGACCATGACATCCCCAAGACCAGAGTGCTCCGAGTCTGAGACAAGACCAAGACTTTAAGGGATCGGGAAAAATTAGCCACAGCTAGGAACCTGTATGCATGTCATCTACTTTGTATTGTACATACCAGAATCGGGGTTTATTGCCAAGTACATTTACTCATACAAGGAATTTGACTTGGTGTATTGGTGCTAAACAATTAACAAGGAAATAAAGCAGAACTAGCAACAACTTAAATAATACAGTATAAGAAGATATTACAATATATTAAATAGAATTTAAAAATATAAAATATAAAATATAAAATATAAAATATAAAATATAAAAATAAAAAACAAAATGTTGTACATTTTGTTTTTTGAGGAAGGTGCAATGTAGGAGCTATGCAGTGGACTATGAAAAATTGTGCATTGCATGTGTCCCTGTTCAATAAACAAAAAATAAATAAATTCTCAGCCCTGAAGGTTGCGAAATCTACATTAGCCTCCAAAGTCAAACGTGTTACATATAAATGTGTGTTTTTGTGCCCATAGACGTTCATACTGTGTGTGTGTGTGTGTGTGTTGGTGTCCTTGAGTTTCATTAACCTGCGGTGAGTGTTGCGGTTGCTGTTCACATGGCCTTGGCCCGTGCAGCCGGGGGTCGGACACTTCAGGATGTTCTCGTGCATGGCCAGAACTGCAGACACACAACAGACACAAAACTCTGCTTAGTTTGTTGCAGTGATAAAAGACACAAGAGAAGAAGAAAAAGGCAGTAGTGGCGGTTTCACATCAGCAGCAAGAAATCATTCATTCAGTTGTGGTTAGACTCTCGGTGGAAACGCAGAGAAGTGGAGGAAGCTAGAGTGGTTATAAAAGTATTAGTATTAGTAGTTAATTCTGTAAACAGGAAAGCAGCAGTGGTAGTTCTAGGGTCATTAAAGTGCTGGTAGCAATAATAACAAAATGTCACTAGGCCTTCGTTTCAAAGCTCCCGTGGTGTTGAATACCTGAATACGAACTGAAAAAAGACAAAATACACGTCAGACGTTGAAGACTTGTCCTCTCTTGTGGGGTTTATGGTGGTATAAAAAGGTCATGTGTACTCACTCTCTGGAGGGATTCTGTCTTTGTGAGGACATCCGGACAGACTACGATGGTGAGGGTACAGACCGGTCACATGACCCGTCCCATCACAACCCGGGGTCGGACACTTCACTTCCTTCTTTTCTGAATGGGAGAAACAGAGAAGACAGACAAAAAACAAGGAATGAGTAAGTGGTGCAAGAGCCAAGGGAAGACAAAATCTCGTTTGCTGTTGTGATTTTTATCGATTACATTTTTTTTTTCTATAATGTGGGACTTGATTTAGGTTCCTAGTAGACGCTTAGGGCCCACTTGCAGCTCTGAACACCCAGGATTGGTTGAGGACTCTCAGCATAAAGACGGAGATCTCTTCACACATCATCATCACAATAATTTGCCCAAACCTCAAAGGTTACTAGATCTTATTGGAGGACAACAATGGTCTGGAAGAAGCTTTAAATCCCTTCAAAACTACAAGTGTACCTTTGCTGTAGTGTGAGGGCCGGCGGGCTGCAGAGGCGGGCTCGGAGCTCTTGCTGGAGGAGCTGTACGGATGATACTCCGGCGAACTCTGCGACTCCTGACCTCCCTTCACCTCCTCCGCCTTCAGGGCGATGGCCTGCTCCAGCAGCCCCAGGTTCCCCCGAGTCATATCCCAATTCTCAGAGTCGTCTGTGATCCCCGAGCCCTCTGAGACGCGATCCTCCTCCTCCTCCTCCTCTTCTTCTTCCTCCTCCTCCTCCTCCTCGTCGTCCTCTTCGTCGTCCTCCTCAGAGCGCACTTCTATGACCACGGTCGTTGGGGAGCCTTTGCTGGATGCTTGGTCCTCCTCCTCTTCGTCCTCCACTAGCACCTCCCCGTCTTCCTTCCCCTGCCTCTCATCCTCCTCTCTCTCCTCCTCCTCCTGCTCTTCGTCGTCCTCCTCTTCCTCGGTCATGGGGGTGCAGATCTTCACTGCTCTTATTAAATCCTCGGCTTCAGATCCCTGAGTGTGTGGACTGAAAGTGTAAAGAGTGTTGACTTCTTGGTGGACCTCCCTCTCCTCTTCTTCCTCCTCTTCTTCCTCCTCCTCGTCCTCTTCTTCTTCATCATCCTGTTCCTCCCTCTGACTCTGCTCCGCTATAGATTCTTTGGCCTGATAGTTGTAATCTCCGCTGGAGTACTGGTGATCAGAGTTTTCCTGGCTCATCATCTGCCTTTCTTCTACAAAATTCTCTTGCTGCTCTTCCTCTACCTTTTCTTCTTCTTCATCCTCTTCTTCTTCTGCCACCTCTTCCTCCTCTTCTGTCTCTTTAAGCTCAGTAACATCAGCTTCTTCTGCTGCTCGCTCTGATGGTTGTTCTTCTGCCACCTGCTGAACTATCACTTCTTCCTCCTCCTCCTCCTCCTCGGCCTCGTTTGTGTCTGTTTCTTCCTGCTGCTGATCTTCGCTGAGGATCTCCGGCTTCTCTTCCTCGCTGATTTTCTCACTTTCAGTTTCGTTCTCTGTTAGAGTCTCGGTTTCTGAGGCGACACTTTCATTTTTCACGTCTTCTGCCAGGAGACAAACTTCTGTTGTTGTTGTTTGTTCTGGCTCCTCGGGCGTCACCAGTGGGGAGTCCGCTGTGGATGTAAAAGCACAGGTGAAAGTTATTATCACTGTTCACTGTGCTGCGATGCTGCTTTGAGCATTTCTAAAGTCCTAGCAGCAGATTTAAAGCGTCTCAGGGCAGCTTGCACGTTTACAGACAATCTAGTGGGAAACCAAGAAGACTAGACTTTATTATATTGTCTGGGACATGAAAACCCGTGTGAGCATCGACTCTGAGGAGGAGGAGACGGCTCTCTCAAATGTTTCTAATTTTGACTGCAGTACCCGTTTTAAACACTAGGTGTCAGGGTTCTATTTTAGGACAATCTTTGCCTTTATTGGATAGGACGGCTGAAGAATGTCAGGAAACATTGGGAGGAGAAAATGTGAGATGACATGCAGCCGAGGTCAGATTCAAACCGAAGGCGGCAGCGATGAGGACTACAGCTTCTGTACACTAGGCGCTCGTCATAACCGCTAGGCCATCCGGCACCTCTTAAGCCTATTTTTTTTCAATTAAAATATGAATCTATGTATCACACCTATCAGAAAGGCGATATAGTGCCACCCCCTGTCTGAAGATATCTTTAGTGCATCTTATTGTGTCTGACAGAAAGTGAAGACCTTTTTGGGTTGACTCACTTTTTGTGGACTCTGGCCTGCCTTTTGTTTTATTTTTCTTATTCTCTTTCAGAACTCCTTCATTGTCCTCCTCCTCCTCCTCTTTTTGTTCCTCCTCCTCCTCCGCCGTGTCACTGTCGGCATTGAGTCCCTCGTCGGCTGCCTGTTTGGTTGGCTGGTTCCTCCTCTTGGGGGCGGACTGGTTCTCCTCAGCCTCCGCCTCCTCCAGCTTCCTTTTCTTCACAATCGGGCATCCCAGTGCACTGAGGAGAGCAGGACGGGTGTGTTTATTAACATGCTAACTCCAAAACATGCGATCACATAACTGAAGAGTCCACTGAAATCAACAGTGTGTGCTGCAGAAAATTAAAACATAAGCTGTAAAATCACACAATAACACTGCCTTCCATTTGCATGACTGTGCTTTAATAGATCAAGAAGCATGCAGGTTGTGTCAGCTATACGTTTTATAATAACTGGTTAACAAGCTGCTGTATGAATGTGTTCACATTTTACCTTCTGTGTCGAGAGTATCGTCCGCTGACGTGGCCTTTACCGTCACATCCAGGGGTGGGGCAGCTGCTGCTGACACACAAGAAAAACAGAACACATGATTCATACACACAGATATAGTTCATATATTTTTATTGGTCGTTTATGAAATGATAGAATCACTCACCTTAACTCCGGCTTCATGTCTTGTCCTGCAAGTTCTGAAGACGTTAAGAGAGGAAGGAGAAACATCAGATGCAGGAATAAGATACCAAACGATGGAGTGATACAACAGGATGGCTGCGATGTGATCATAGACTTTAAATATTAATGTTTGAAGCGCGTCTGTTCCTGCAGGGGGCGCTGGAGTCCCATCGATGGCGGTCTCCATGCTGGAAATGCTGTCTCAGTCTAACTTTCAGTCAACCTAAAGACAGGCTGAGAGCTGGAGCTGAGGCGGGTTTTAAACCTCCTGACAAACCGTTACACCGCGCCCACCTGTCAATCAGGTCAGCTACACGCCTTATTGTGAATAACTCTTATCCTTCATCAAATCAAAACTAATGAGTCATCAAAACATTCCCCCCCCCCCGTACAGTGTGTGTCGATCGAGACATGAACTAATCAGACCTATTTGGTTTTTTGAACCAGGCTGTAAACATGTTAATCTCTGCTGTAAAAACAGGCTTTTTAGAATGGATGTGGGATGTGACTTCCTGTGCTTCTGCAGCCAGCCTGTAGTGGACACTCCAGGAACTGCAGGATTTATGAACTTCTACATTGGCTTCATTGTCCATTTCGTTAATAAAGGTAATAATGATGAAAGGACAGCTGCTCATAGCTATATAATGATGCTTTCATTTTTGATTAATTTTTGATTTGAGATTAATAGTTATTCATTGCACTCTTATGTGTTTTTGGGAATGCTTTGACTTTATGTTGATACTTTTCAACTCTGTCCTCTCTGTTTAGTTTTTTAAATGATTTCACAGGGATGGTACGGTATCCTGTCAGCATGATTTCATGTAGCATGCTGAAGGGAAAACAGAAAAAATCCCCCAGAAAATCCGAGGAGATTCTGCGTGAACCTTTGCCAGGTTTTATTCCAAAACACCGCGGTCCTGGTTGAATCACTTTGCATGATGTCATGATGTGTAATTCAGGGTCAGATCACAAACAGCTCAGTGCTGCCCCTGAGTACATTCCATGAATACACAATATGAAAGGTCACATCAGTGTCAATTTACGTCAAGCCTGGTGTGTGTGTGTGTGTGTGTGTGTGTGTGTGTACTGACCTCGGATGGCCTTAGAGCGGGTTCTTGTTCGTGTCTCTGTTGTTTCTTGGCTCATCTGAGAAAACAGAAAAACATGATTCATAAGATAGATAGATAGGGAGGGAGGGAGGTAGGTAGGTAGGTAGTGAGGTAGGGAGGGAGGGAGGTAGGGAGGGAGGGAGGTAGGGAGGTAGGTAGGTACTTTGATGCTGTGGCTCGTCCTCTCAGTTGATTGGCTCTCCCCTGGTCCACCGGTGGCTGAGTGTTTGACCTTTTTAACTCATTTTCTGGAAGAAATCAACAGAAAAAATTAAAATGTATTGTGAATGTTTTGAGGGCAAATGTATTGATTTTACAGATCTGTGTTTACAAGGCAGGCGGAGTTAGATGTAAATGCTGCAATTATGACTTTCATGTCCCAGAACTTTCCCCTAACTTTCCGTGCCTCTGCCGTGCTCAGGAAGTGAACTGGCACCTCTCCAGCTACCAGACCAAGTTTCCAGATTTGGTCCGCAACAGGACTTGAACAGGTGACCCTCCGGTTCCCAACCCAAGTCCACTCAGACTGAGCTACTACCCCCCCATAAACACACATTTTCATAGTTCTAGGAACTGTTGGAACCATCCCCCCTTTTTTAACTGATTTTGCACTGCAAGAACTATTTTAGTTCCTAGAACCCGGTTAAGAGGTACGTTTTTAGCTCCTGCTTTAAGTAGGTGCCATGGTGGTAGTTCCTCTTCAAAAAGTCCCATTTGAACCATTTGATCCAAAAACACCCGGAATGTTCATTAAAGGGGACATATTGTGAAAAATCCACTTCTACAATCCCCTCCCCTCCCCTGGTATCTCCACCCATGGACTCCACCCCCAGCCTAGAACAAAACTTTTCCGCAGGTCCGCCATTTTTATTCTCTCTTAAGAGGAGTGATGTCTACCTGGAAAACTCAGGGGGGTCATTGCATTTAAAGAGACACACACACCAAAACGGAGTGTTCTGAGAGAGCTGGTTTATACAGGGTCACAAACCTCCTCTGGTGCTTGATTCATGTTATATTTTGACCAAAGCACAGCACAGATGTTTCATTTAGACCACAGGGGGGACTGTTTGAAAAGATAGAAAATAGGTACAATATGTCCTCTTTAAAAGATTGTAGGTTTGCTTTATTTCCTGTGTTTTCGTAGCTTACTTTGATTTTTGTGTCTATTGTGGTATTGCATCTTGAGGTTTTTATGTCTTTCATTTGATGTAGATCTATTTATATGTCCTGTAAAACACTCTGAAAGGATTTATGTTTGATATTATCTGGGCCTTATCATTCATAAACCTGCCTTTGCTCAAACGGCATGAAATCCAAGACTCTAGTCCTATTTTAAATGTATAATAAAATAACGTAAATGTCAATATTTTGTTCAAAAGTTAAATATTTATTTCACTGCAGCCCATTTAAAATGTAAGTTCAATAAAATAAAGGTATTTATAATGATGTAACCGGTAAAATAGGCTGTTTCATTTGAGATTCCTCTATGCTGTGCAGATACAAAGGTATGTGTACGTGACAGTTTGACAGCAGGCAGCGGTGCTCATGACAGTTTGGGGATCATTTCGCGGACAAGTATCGGTTCATAGTGACTTTATGTCTGCCAGGGTAGACTTTGCGAGAGTTCAAATGTGCTAAACTCCACAAAGCAAAGGTTTTACGCGAATGAACAGAAATAAAAATGCGAGAAAGCGTAAAAATGTTGTTTAGTGGTGACAGAGAGCGGAGATGTAGGCCGGGCTGCCTGCTAGGACGAGGCCTTTCTCCTCTCAGAAACTGGCACAGTGACAAAACACCAAGCACACAAAGGCCAAAGGGGGTTATACTCTGAATATTATAGTTAAAAAGAGGACTTTACGCACACTTAGCCGCCATTGGAGCAGCCGAAAACAACTACACGCAATAATAATCGGTTTAAAAGCTTGACTGTTCGCTCATTCACACCTAGCTGGATTTTTTTTTTTTCTCCGCGGATGAAAAAGAAGAAACGACGTAAAGCTTGCTGACATCCGCGGAACAACAGCCGACATAACCGCTTCATCCCTCCCCCAGCCCTGCCCGGTGATAAATCCACCGAGAGGCCCGCAGAACAAACTCCAGAAAATACCGACAAATAAGTCAGCTTCATGCTCTTTGTCACGGAGACATAAAGCCTTACCTTCCGCTCAGACTACTGCCCTCCCCTCCCCCTCCGATCCGACATCTCCGGGGCTGAAAAGATTCACTTTGTACCCCCTCTCTTCTTCTGCTGCAGCGGCTTCAACCCGAAGCGCACACACGACCGGAACCGGCTCAGAAGTGGACTGAAGGAGTGTGACAAGCAGCTTAAGAGTGAGAGCCCAACACCCCCCTGGAGTCTGATCAGCACCCCGGACAGAGCCTGCCGAATCCTTCAGCACCATGGACAGAAGCCCCACTGCACCGCCTCCTGCAGGACAGCGGAGGAGCTGCAGCCGGCCGGGGTAGCTGGATACCCCCCACGCCAGAGAGGCTGGACAACGGTGTCAATATTTAAAAAGCCACAAAGCAGCTGGAGGACGACGGGGATGGAGGAGGATGTCACCAAACACGCTCCTCATAACTCCCAGTAACTTAAAACCAGCTGATTATTGTTGGCCAAGTCGGCTGCTATTAGATTTTCAAATACCAGTAGCCTAAAAATACTAATAGTGAATTATAATTACAGAATACAATGAGAAGACGTTAGATAATTCATCCAAAATGTTGTTCTGTATAGTCTTTGTCATCTTAAGCCATAATTTACCTCAAAAACAAACTCACTGACCAATCACAGTGCAGTCCATTGATGCCTTCACTATCAGCCAATCAGAGAGCAGAGTTTCCTTCATGTGATGTGAATCAGCGAATAGGAAACTGAGACTGATTTCCACACTAAAAAAAAAGGACTAAAAATAGTAAAGAGGAAGGGAAGAGTGTCATCATTTGGACTTTTTAATTATTTATTTATAGGCAGATATTAAGGGGCTTCTGTTTAAATATTGCAAAACATCACTTTATAATTATGTTGTAGGAATATGTAGATAAAGAATATTATTTTAACATCTCATCTCTGCTGAACGGCTTCTGAAACATCTCGTGTAACATCTTTGGAGTTGTTTATATCATGTTTCCATAATGGTAATTTAGCAGCTGTTTAATACAGAGTTCATGTTTGGTGTGATATATGTATATATATATATATATATATATATATATATATAATTTTTTTTTTTGTGCATGATGGGTTTCTCAACTTAAAGATGCACAATGGAGTTTTGGTAAAGAAATGTGAAAATTGGAGAAGTGTACAGATTCTGTTGTATATGTTCATAACTCTATACACAAACTGTCCTCAGAGGAACATGTGGTCCCTGTAACTGTTTGAAGATAAAATGTTACACGAGAAGTTGTGGTGGAGGGAACCGTAACTCTCCTGGTATCTTTTTCAGCTCCAAACATTGTTCAAGGGACCCATTTTTTCTGAGTAAAGCTTGTGTATTTAGTTCAGAAAATATAGCATAGAACTGTTTCCCTTCTCCAACTTTCAAATTTCACTCCCAAATCTACATAGTGCACCTTTAAGAAACACAGTTTTCACAAGCCAATCTGAAGTTAATTTGAATATTTAGGCACCAAAGTGACCTGATGTACAATTGTTTACATTTGAGCATACAGATCGGCCTGTTCGACATGTACGTATTTAAGTTTAATAACTTTTATATAAATACAAATGATCGCTTGATACTGTCAGGTTTCAGAGACTTGGCGTTTAAAGTACTTAACATAACATGACACGATATTAAATGTAAATAAAAGTAAAAAATACTCATATATGATTCGTTCATTTATACAGAACATGCAGGAATGATATTTAGTTTACGGCTCCAATTGTGTGCGACATGTTGTATTTCTGTCTTCCTTTTGCTTAGGCCTGCTGTAATTATAAATGTAATGTAATTTATTGTATTTTAAATTTTAACTAATGCATTTTAGTTAGCCTACTGACAACGGGTCGGGGGCTCAAAGCTGGAAAATATCCACAAAGGCTAAAGCTGCTAATTGTACTGTATAGTTAACTAAAGGGGACTGTCCGCGAAACAATAAACTGATAAACTAAACTAAAGCTTTTAATAATATTTCAAGATCATCCAGTATTTTCTGTTGCTGTTATTATTTCTGTCCAGCAGGTGGCGCGTGTTCACCAGCACCAACAAACACTAAACCACAAGTGAGGGGAAAAAAACGAAGAAGAAGAACGACGAGGAACAAACCGTAGAAGAAGAGTGGGAGCGGACAAACCAAAGGTGTTACGTTATTGTTAACTTCTCAGGTATCAACATTTTTACTTTTTCTCTTCGTCCACACCTCAGATTAGCTTCGTATCTTTATAAAAACATCGTAGCTTTGACTGTCGTTAGTCTCCGTCGTTCTCATCGCCAGACGTTGAACTAGTAACGGCTGTTTCTGCCGCTGTGATTTATTTTAGAGATAAACTCTTTTCAACCACCGAGAAACAGTCATATTAGCATGAACGTACGTGGGCTGTGTTTTTTAGAAAACGTCTGTGTTCAGGAGGTTAACGTAATGTTACTTATTTGTCGGCGTTTTCAAAGTTAGAGAAGTTAAGTCAAAGTTTGTTACCGTGGCAACAACTGAGACGTCGGTGTGGTGTTACGGCGAGGAATGCACCCCTGCCAAGAGATGCACGCACCTCGCAGGACAATTCAGAACGTGGCAGACACTATTTCTACAAACATTTCCTCGGCAGACACTTAGAGCCAAACAGTGGCGGGTATAGACCAATTTTACTGAGGGGGCCAAACTGGGGCCAGTTGTTTTGTCAGAGGGGAACATTAAACCCAAGTGAAAAATAGACAAAGAGGATCGCTTTAAAAAAATATATTTTGCTAAATAACAGCACACATCATTAAATACCATGATTTATATTTGATTCAGTAACAATATTTAATACTAGATTGTGAGTCAAATACTGTGTATGTGTTATGAAGGTGCTCTTCCTTTATGAGGGGTGGCCACAGGGGGGACCAAGCTCAGAGTTACAGGGGCACTGGCCCCAGTTGGCCCCTGCCAAGAACCGCCCATGGAGCCAAACACTGTTTGCAGATCATATTTACGCAGGTTAATGAAAAGGCGCCTTCTATCGAGTCTACAGAACAATGACGACACTTCACGTTTATTAAGTATAAACTTCACATAACTTTGTCATCCAGGGGCGTGTCCAGACTTTTTTTTTTAAGCGGGGCTGGCCCATCTGCGTCACTGACTGGAAAAAGGGGGGATGACTGGTTGCTCAAAGACAAAATGTAAAAGTATCTCTGAGTCTCTTGGAAAACAGAAAATGAAAAATGAAACAAAGAGGAAGGAAATCTTAATTAAATATTCACGCCATTAAAATAAACATTTCCATTCTCTCGCTGTAACATTTTTTGCCTGTTTTTTTTGTAATTTGCTTTTGTGCTTTTGAGAAAGGCTGTTTGTACGCACATCACATAGGTGGAGGCAAATGCTAAACAGCAGTAAGTAAGAAAGAGAAGATGTGCCTGCTCACTTGCTCAGTGTCACAAAAACTTAATTGAATCACAATGTTTTGACCTGAGGTCTTCTCCAGGTTTTATTTTTTATCTGAAGGAAACATTTTGATTCAATAAAGTTTTTTTGTGTGCAGGAATATCTTCCACTTTTTCTCCTTTTCTGCTTTCCCCTATTTTCTTCATATCCCAAATGTTGAATTGGTAACATAACAAATTATAATTTAATACATTTTGGGGGCCGCTCTTAACTTAACTAAGCGGACCATTACATCAGCATGGAAATCCAATGTTGCCATGAGGGTTGTGTTGATGTGTTAATGTTTCAAAGTGATATGGTTTATTTTTGTGTACGATGATTTACGATCTTCAAACTAATATTGTGATTTATTTTGCCTGTTTCACAAGTTAATGATCGTGTGTGATATATCACAGTGTAATTATCGGTCCTTGGTGTGTGTGCAGCTGCAGGATGGACATGTCCAGCAGGCTGGCTCTGTGGCAGCAGCTAGCAGAGAGCTGTGGTCTCAGTACGGTCCAGCAGGGTCTGCAGCAGGTCTGGGGGCTGCTGCTGCTCTGCCTCGTCTGCAGGGTCTGCTTCAGATTCGGTGAGCTGCACAGAACGATTCTTCTCTGTTTGTTGTTTTATCTTTATGATACTTACGAACACAGTTCTGATGAGATGTAACTGTAATGCATAGTGTTGTCCTGCTTGTGTATCTCAGTCAGTGGTTCCACAGTGAAGCACCTGGTGTCGGCGTTGTTTGGGGTGTACGCCCTCTTCCTGTTCTTCGAGCTGCACATGCTGTGGGTGCTGCTGCTCGCTGCGCTCTGTTACCTCGTTCTGCTGCTCAGCCGACACTCCAGCAGCAAAGGTGTCTTCCTCTCCGTTGTTATCCTCGTGTTCCTCCTTATCGGGTGAGCAAACACTACAGAATCATACTAACAAACAACAGAATTCCTAATGATGTCGTTTACTTCTTGCATTTAAACTAGAGGTGGCAAATGACTGGTGGCCCACTGACTCAGAGGAAATTGTCTCTTTAGTGGCAGAGAAATTACTTTGAGAAATCCCCTTTCATCATTTTCATGCAGGCTTCTGATACAACCTTTCAGAACAATAATTTTACCATAGCTTATTTAAATTGGTTTATGAATTTAATATTGGAATTTAACAACTTTAGTCTCGTAAATTTCTATTTTTTTTCTTTAACTTGGCACTATTACTCCGTCGTAAAAAGTGGCATTTCAGAACTGCTGCAGTACTTTTATTGAAATTTGTGAATCCCTTTAGTTTCTGTTGCAGGATGATGTCATGTGTAATTGTCTTTCTTTATTTCAGAGAGTTGCATTTAATTGATGTGGTGACCTGGCATAAAATCAGAGGTACAAGTTTCATTTTGACATTTTTTTTCTACAAACACAGAAAGAGCATCGTGTGTGATTGATTTAGAGCTGTCACAGAGTTCAATTACAGATGTTATCCAGCTGTGAAACGATAACACAGGAAATATTCTGCTCACTATAAATGTGAAGAGCACTGAAGGAGTAGTATGAACCTTCAGGCTGGATTTATAAACTGAGAAACTTTAACAATACACGGCATGATTCATCACAAAAATGATCGACTGAAATCACATCTTTGTAAAATAAATATTATTTACTGAAACAACCTTCGGTCTTGGGGAGACAGGGCCTTCTCCATTGCAGCTCCCACCCTCTGGAACTCTCTCCCTAAAAACATCAGAGACTCCCCCACACTCACTTCCAACAAGAAATCCCTAAAAACTCACCTTTTCATCACCGCCTACAACCACTGACTCTCATCCTCTTCCCTCGACACTATTTCTATGTTGTATTGTTCTCTTAGTTTTTGCTTTGTTTTTCGTTGTTTCCTGTCAAAGCGTCTTTGAGTATTTAGAAAAGTGTTATATAAATCTAATTTATTATTATTATTATTATTATTATTATTATTATTATTATTACTGGCTCAGTTGAACGAACGTGTGTGTATATGTGTGTGTGTGTGTGTGTGTGAGACAGGCTCTCAGATGGTGGTGGCTATGAAGGCCATCTCTCTGGCCTTCGACCTGGACAGAGGGACGGTGAACTCGTTGCCCTCCCCCGCTGAGTTTCTGGGCTACGTTCTCTTTGTGGGCTCTGTCGTGTTCGGCCCGTGGATCAGCTTCTCCAGCTATAAGAACGCCGCCGACGGCAGAAAACTGGTGATTAATTAACGGTTTCCTGCTTCCTCTGCGTGCATATCGCTTCTTCCTGTTTGACGTTCTCAGTTTGTAATGATGTTGTTTCTCCTCCTCAGAGCTGGTCCTGGATGCAGAGTTGCTCTTTCAGCTTCCTGAAGAGTCAGATCTGTCTACTGGTCTCCACCTGCATCTCCCCCTACCTCTTCACTCTGTTCATCCCCATCGAAGGAAACACATTCACACAGAAGTAAGACTCCTTTTTCATTCAAATCATAGCACACCTGCATCCAAGACGACATGAATACAGCAGGTGTTCGGTAGGATCATGTCCCTGCTCCCTTTTAATGTGATCGTGTGTCTCTTTAACGACCATGTGCTGTGTTTGATTAGCTCCAGGGATCTTAGGGGAAGTTCAAGTGGAAGTGAAACAAAAGCTAACCTGTGTGTTTGTGTGGTGTGTCTCTCAGGTGGCTGCAGGCTTACGAGAACGCGGTGTCCTTCCACTTCAGTAACTACTTTGTGGGTCACCTGAGCGAAGGCACGAGCATGCTGGCTGGAGCCGGCTTCACCGAAGAGAAAGACAACATCAAATGGTGAGTTTCATCGGGGGCTCAGCTGCTCTGAGGTGAGAGAGATCATGTGTTTAGAAAACATGTTTTTATGCTTATAATGGAAACAGTCACGGGAGCATGTTGCACTCACATGAGAAAATCTAAATCTGTTCTGTTTTCTGAATGAACGTGATAATTATCTCAGAATTACGAGTTACGAGTTGCTTGCATTTCTCAGCACAACTCAGTTGAACCACGTGAGGATCCAGGATTTTCAGTGATGCCCTTATTGTCTGTTGAGTCACTATGAGCCTGAATGCATCTCAGATCCAAAAATGTCTTAACGGCTCAACTGGATCCTGACCGTTTGTGTCTGAACTGCAAAGATCTGAGTTGTCTGCATGTGCAAAGTGGACAAAGACACGAGTATCTGTCCATGTGTCGAACCCAAGCTAAAATAAAACAGTTAAACTCGACAGTCTGGGAATGTGTTTGCTCACACAGAGTCTGTGTTTTATTGTTCAGGGATATGAGCGTTGTGAAGCCTCTCAGTGTAGAGATGCCTCGCTCCATGGTGCTGGTGGTGACGTCCTGGAACATCCCCATGTCCCGCTGGCTGAAGACCTGTAAGTCCAGGACAGGATTCCCCCTCTGTCTGTTTTAACACCCCGTGGTTACTAAACACTGAAGCACTAACACCATAATGAACAACATAAATCAGTATCTGACGAGGTCCAAGCTTTAAAAACACCAGTTTGAATTTTTCTGAACAAGTTATTACTTTATTAATAGAAAGTGTATTCTGATGTATTTAATCGTGTGTTTGCTTGTTCCCCAGACGTGTTTAAAAACGCCATGAAACTGGGAACTTTTCCTGCCATCCTGGTGACGTACACGGCCAGCGCCTTACTACACGTTAGTAACACAACGCACCTTTTATGCAGAATCTTTCACGGCGATGGAGTCCATTTAAAAATTTGGTATAATGCAATCAAGTTATTTTAAAGATTTATTTTTGGGCTTTTTTGTGCCTTCAATGGAGAGATAGGACAGAGCCAGAAATCAGAGAGAGAGAGAGAGAGAGAGAGAGAGAGAGTGGGGAATGACATGCGGGAAAGGAGCCACATGCTGGACTCGAACCCGGGCCGCCCGCCCAGAAGACCACAGCCCCCACACATGGGGCGCGTGCACCAACCACCGCGCCACCAGCGCCCCATAGTGCAATCAAGTTAGGTCCTGTGTTCACCTGGCTTTTTTTTCCAGGCAGAAAAGCACTGGCATGAAGCGTTTGTTTGCTGGGTGCTGCATGTCCGTCCTGTCTCCATGACAACAGTCTGTTGACAACAATCCACTGTATAACCGACACTGGTCTGTTATTTTTACTGCATGATTTTTTTTTTCTGATTGTTTATTTCCCGATCAGACACGGAGCTAGGAGGATGTGGGTACAAGACTTGATTTGTAGACGGCAAAACTACGGGAAATCTAAAAAAAAAAAATCAATTTGAGTGCTGGGAGCGGCTGCACAAAAAAGGCAGAGTGCTTAAAAAGACACTGCGCTTTTTCTCTGGGCGGCCACCTACTTCTGTAAACGCTCTCTGTTAATTGAAAATGACTTTAAAAAGACGCTGGTGTCAGAAAAAAAAAAGCGCTAGGTGGACACGGGGGCCTAAAGACAGTTGTTGTCTTTCCCTTTCGTTCCAGTTTTTCATGGACCAAGTGATGAAGGTTGTTTGTCATTGGTTGACGACATGTGTCAACATGAACACGAGCACGTCTTTCTACTGGATCTTAATCTTTCTCTTTGTTTTCTTCAGGGTCTGAGTTTCCACCTCGGAGCTGTTTTGCTCTCGTTGGGCTTCATCACATATGTTGAACACGGTATGAATTATACAGATTATACAGCTGTGCTATTTGAATCACTAGGAGGAGTTGCATGCGTGAACGCAAGGGCCAAATTTTTGCACTCTTTATCTGGAGTTTCTCCTCCAGCGTCCTCGTATTTATTCTGCAGAAAAGTCAGAGTGAGCTGATGTGAGAACACAGCAGGATATAATCAGAAGAAGTGGGAGGGTGCTGCGAGGTGCATGTGTGAACGACCACATCAGGAGGATTTTACTTGTACGATTATCAGTAGTCATGAAAATAACTATTCAATCTTTTTTGTTTAAACGCTTTCTTTTTAATCTGCACAATAATAATAATTTTTCTGTTATTGATCCTCAGTTCTGAGACAGAAGCTCGCATCCATCTTCAGCGCCTGTGTCCTGTCCCGACCATGTGCCTCGGACTGCAGCCATCAGCACAAGAAGGTACGCCTGCCGCTCTGCACACCTTTTTGAGACATCTAAACACAGAGACATTCTGAAGGATGTTAACGTCCACCTGCACATACATTACAAAGAGTGTGATTGAACTAAGAACCGAGATATCTAGCAGAGCTGACTTCACATTTTGTTTGGATCAAAAAGCTCAAACCTGGTTAAAGGGTCGACAATGTGACTCCCTTTGAAATAGGAGGGAGAGAGAAGTGACAGTATCAACATAACATAAGACAGAAAATGTATTTTAACTTCTGATCTAAGCCTGCTCAGTCAAGTTTGAACTCTTGAATGTTTTTGCAGCTGCTTCACTGTCTGTTTTGTCTGTAGGGTTCCTGGGTGATGCTACTGAACCTGGTCTTCAGCTTCCTGGTCGTCTTCCACCTCACCTACCTGGGCTCCATGTTTGACCCTGGAGTTGATGAGCAAGAAGTAGAAGAGGTAAGTCCACCTCGAGGACCCATTTTCATACATCATACACCGAATTGTCAACAAGGAATAGTGCAGGACACTGAGGCTTCAGTTTTTAGACTTAACATGAAGGGGGGGGGGGGGTTAAGGTACTTGAAAGGTCTTGACTTGTTGCACTGAGAGAGGAGAAGTTAGAGCAGCAGTCAGATAAGTGTCACATAAATCTGATGTCTCCTCTGGACTAAGGTGATGTTTGATACGTGCCCGCCTCGTTTGAGAGATTACATGCTCTGGACTCTGTTCAACATGTAGCTCTGAGGTTCATCACTCATTTTACATCCCTGACTCATCACTGTTTGTTGTCTGCACGTGTTGGATGGACTTCTTTGTCCTCACGCAGACTTAAACACTGTAGTATCTACGAGTCTATTTAGGGTCTTCTTCCTTCAGACCTCCATCAGTCAGACGAGTACAGGGATTTATAATCTTTGAACGGTCTGTTCCAAAAAGTCTGAACTGAACTGAGGAAAAAAACGTTCAAGTTCGCTGCTCCTTTTACTTAGAACGAAGCACAAAAAGAGCTGAGACTTCATAAAGAGCTGGGTCTTCATCTTTTTCTTAAAGGTGCAAAGGGACTCTGCAGATTGAATGGAGTCATTGGGTTCTTATGAAGTCTGTCATAATATGAACATGTCTGGTTCTCTTTGCATTACAGGAAACTATTGAACCATTTAAAACATCCACTTTTATTTCAGTCTTCCAAAAGAGATCAATGCTCCGAACATTGACGCATGTCACATGTATCTCTCGTTTTGCAGGGTTATGCAGCCGTCCACACCATCCAGAGGTGGTCTGAGCTGAACTGGGCCAGTCACTGGGTCATGTTTGCCTGCTGGGTCTTCTACCGTTTGATCCAGTGACACTGTTGATGCGTCACAATACAGCTGGGTTTTGTCTGTAAGAAGCAGTAAGTTGTTATCTGACAGGAAAGAAGTACGAGGGATTTGCTAAAAAAGGAAAGAACCAGAGGACGGAGTGTTCTGCTTTGGAAGTCAAGGTGGACGTAATCAACACTCCCTCTCACACCTGTTTTTGGATGAACTCACCGACAGTATCGTGTACGAGCCCGGCATATCTTGGGACCATTTCAGGACATTTCATAAGAAAACTGCAGAAAAGAATCACTCCAACGATTCGACTGAATTGAATAAAATGATCGTAGGAAAGAGAGAATCCTGCATGTTAGACCTCATGAAGACCACAAAGGTAATGACTTACCTTTACCTGTATGCAGTGTGTTCAAGAGAGGAAGTGTTAAATGTGTTTTTTCTGATCTCAGCTGGAGTAAAACAGTGTTCATTTCCATCACATTTCACTTTAACATATTAAGATGTAGGTACGTTATTATACAGATTTTTAAATGTTCAATAACTCTAAATAGTTTAAAGGTGGAGTCAGTAGCTTTTTCTGTTTCTTGTAAACGCAACATTCAATCTGGGCCCCTCCTCCTCCTGGACTCATCTCCCCCAGCACCTCTCACTCCCTGCAGGACGTGGTGTGTACGTTTACTGCTTGCACCTACACTGCAAGCTAACGCACGCTAGCACAAGCTAACCGCCGGTGTTTGTTACCTGCCTGTCCAACAGGAAGCAGACCAACTCCACGTCCACGGGTAAAAGACAACACAAGGTTTGGACCTCTTATGGGCAGGAGCATTATCTGATTGGCATTTCTCTTCTTTGCTGCTACGTCCACGTTCGTCATATTCATCAGTTTGAATGGCGTCCAATCACTGAATTGTATCCACTCCTAAACTCACCGGCTGCGCTGTCATTTGCTGGAAGAAACACAACAGCTCCGCCCAGAAACGTCAACCAGAACAAAGCAGAACAGTAAAATCCAGTTTCAGGAAAAAAGCTACTGACTCTGTCTTTAAATTTTCTTTTGTTACAACCAAGTATATTTTGTACTGCTGCTATTTGTTTTTCTATTTTTTCTATTAAAACAGTCAATATGGAGACTGAACTTTGGTGACTTTTTCTTGCTTTGTTTATTTTATTTACATACCCAAGTTTCCACGCCAGGCCCGCCCACAGAAATGGCTGGGCTCGTGAAAGGCCGGGTGATTGGGCCCTCCCAGGCTATGATCAGTATGCACATTCGATCAGTAGTGTTAGCTACTGACATTAGCTCCCTCCGGGGCCCTTTATGTTGGTACAAAAAAAAGTCTACGTCAAAGGGGTCTACATTGTGACTCCCTTTAAAGTTGTAGAGAGCTGTCTCCCCCCGCCCCCTCCTCTCTAGAGTCCATGCTCATACAGGTCGCCATGTGGTGGACACTGAAGCTTCAGTGTTTATCCAGCTCTGCATGGGTCTGTAAACCTTTCTGTGTTCTAACCTCTCTCCATTTTTCAAAAGCATCTCCAATATTGATCCTAGTTTGAGCACGTTTCTGCTCGTGGAGCTTATTAGAAACATGCAGAGGCTTTTTAGGTCGGGTACAATCACTTCTATCTGAACCAGTTCTCTTGCCCGCTTCCATCGCTGCAACACCTGTTGACCTGATAACTGCTCTCATATCTGGCAAACCGAGGGGCGTCCAAAACGGCCCTCTCTGGCAGAAAGTCAAGCCTTCAGGAAAGCAACAAATAACCGCTGATAAAATAAAATAAAAACTCTTGGATTTGTGTCCTGGTTTAAATCCATATTCTGTTTTTCTCTTTTGGATGCTGAGCAGGTATTGTATGGCAGGTTTATTGATGCAAATGTCTCCAGTGAATTTGCTGTGAAGTACATCACACACTGAATGTTAACCATGTAGACTGGAGTGGGTATCTGAGAATGCTTTCCTGCCTTTTTTTTTTTTTACTGGAGCTTGAATGAACTTACACAGTCGTATTTTTAAAGAGATATCTCCTCAGGTGAACTTCCAGCTGTGTGCAGAATGGACTTGGATCCCTCACCTGTGCTCTTACCTGCATCCAGTCAATCATTAATGTTTTCAGTCCGACAGGAAGTGTTCAGGTCAACACGGAAGAAGAAGAAAACGTCTCAGAATCCTCCCTGATCCAGGAGAGTCACAGGTTAGGGTCGGTCGGGGCTGTGGGCTGTCTCTCTTTTGTAGCTGACTGATTCATCTGCTTTTGTTACCGACAGGTGGACAGGTGAAGATTAAAACAGAATGGGAAGGACGACCAACTGCAGCTGGATTGGGTCTGAGCTCCCTCTGTCTTCACAGGTCTTCAGTGGTACGTACGTTTTCTTAACTTCATCTGTCGTTGAATGATTAGCAAGCTTCGTACATGTCACCTGTTAGACGGAGGCTTTCACACCATTTAGCCGCAGTCAGATGAAGCTAAAGGAATCGGCTACCCTCGTATTCAGTAGTGCCAAATTAGTGGAGGAACAAACAGTTTTTTGGATTTATGTTAGACTCTGACAGGACAGGTTGCAAACACAGGTGTTGTATTAAATATGAAGCTGAACACCTACATGTTTGAAATACAGTGAAGCCTTCAGTGTGACAGTCTTGATTTGTGATCTGTGTTGTCCATCAGCCATTAAAGATGAGCTGTGGCTCTTCCTCATCCCGGCCGGCCTGGCTGTCATCATACTCGGGGTGTTTCTGGAGGAGGTGGGCTTCTTCCTGCGTCACATCCCTTCCTCCAGACGTAAATGGCTCTACCTGTGGATATTAGGGATGTACCCGGTAACAGGATCCTCCTTATTGTTCTTCATACCTCCTCTATACTGCAGCTCATTCCCACCCTGATCTTTCTAACTTCCTTTTGTTTGTAACTCCTCAGGTGTTTGTGTTGACCTCCCTCATAGCACTCTATGTGCCTCGCTCTTCCTCGCTGTGTAATTTCATCGCCTCTCTGTGAGTGAACACGTCTGACGCTGTGATAAAACACACCTGTCGTGGCTGCACCTCCTGGCTGAGTCTGTGTGTCTGTATGTGCAGGTATCACTCCATCACCTTGCTGAAGTTCATGGGACTCATCACAGACTTCTTCGGAGGGAAAGCTCGCATGCTGTCCGCTCTGTCCGGACAGCGGGTATCTCCAGACCCGTTCCCCTGTTGCTGCTGCTGCTGTCTCCCAATGGTGTCCATCAGCAGGTAGGTCACACACCAAACACCGGCCTGATTAGCACGTTGCCCCTGAGCTGGAGGTGGTTTGTGTTCATAGCCAGTACTGCTTTCTCATGAGCTTCATTTGTGATATATCAACCTGACTGACTGACACTCAAACAAAAGCTATATGTCTTAAACATGCAATCCGTATAATAGACATCAGGGGGCGACTCCATCGTATGAAGAAATAAGTGTTTGTATGAATACTTTTCACTTAAAGGCAGGGTTGGTAATTCTCGTCAGATCCACTTTTTTAAGATTTTGGTTGACATGTCTTAAAGTTACCTAAAGTTGTGACCTCTCCTGCTGCATACTTGTTGATTATTTTGTCCCTCGTCTTGTGCGCAGCAGCAGCCGTGGTTGGATGATGGCCGCTGTGCTGCAGCTCTCTGTGGTCCGCAGCATTCTGTTCTTTGTCACTCTGGTCCTGTGGACGGATGAACAGTACGACTACGGTGATGTGAGTTATTTATTTAAACCTCAGCCTGTGTTTGTTATCACAGTGAACATGTTGTTGCAACGCTGCAGGATCTGATTTTAAGCCGACCCCACTCGCTTGGAGGACAGTGGCCTCCGTACATGGGGCGAGCAGATTAACCACTATGCTACCCTGTTTATAAATCTTAAGAATCACTTTTGCTTTGCTATGTTTGTCACCCTAATGACCAGATTAGGAGTCTCTGGAGCTACTATGATGGGAACAGCCTGATGCAGAATCTCTGAAGGCCTCATTAAGCCTCAAATAAATAATAATAATAACTTTATTTCTATAGCACCTTTTAAAAACACAGGTTTACAAAGTGCTTTGACAAACAGCAAAAACAAGAACAAACTAAACCAAACACAGAAGAACATAAATAACAGCAAGAACATAACATATGCAAAATAATTAAATACAATTCAACAGAAAAGAACCCATATTGCACGATATCCAACAGACATATATAACCCGACCATCACAAGAACCATGATAAGAACCCAGGAAACACAAGAACCCAACAACATGAGCTGAGACCAAAAGGAACCAAAGATTTAAAAAGATGTAAGAAACTAAAAGAGCTGAAAAAAATAAAAAGATAACAGCAATAAGAAGGTAAGAGCAGTAAAAGAAATAAAAACAAGTGGTTAAAGGATAAAAAAAAACCTATATTATTAATAAAAATAAAAAGTATATATAAAACATGACTAGACAAAGTAAGTAAGATAAGAAATTACCAAGTTAAAACATAAGAGTTAAGATAAGAGCATAAATACGAGATAAGAGCATAAATAAAGAGCCTAAATAAAAGGACAGTAAGAAGTAAATAAAGATAAAAATAGTAAAACCAGTAAGAAAAGACATTAAGAAGACGACATCACATAAAAGCAAGTCTGTAAAAGTACGTTTTAAGAAGGGATCTAAAAGAATTGAGGGAATCTGGAAATAAAGACCTTGCCAAGTACAGAAGTTTGAATGTTAACATGACAAGATGGTCTGAATGTTTGCGGTTTTATCTCCATGTGCACAAGTATCTCATAAAACAAAATCCGAGAAGTTTGAGAGATCAGGAAGGAAGTACTCACAGTGCATTTTTGCATTAACAGTCAGTGTGAATACTGTGATGCATGCATGAGTTTTAAAAAGGAAACTCAACGTTGGTTACTTAATGCTAACTGTAGTTTTTAAAATAGTACACAACCACCTTCTTCATCTCCAGGTGGATTCTGTCAACCCAAACCTGTATGTGAACGCCATCATATGTGTGTCCACCTTTGTGTCCTTTTACGGCCACCTCCTGTTCTACAAAGCCACAAAGAGTGCTCTACATGGCTACGGACTGAGTGCCAAGTTCATCTGCATCATTGTGGTATTGGTGCTCTGCGGCCTGCAGAGCGGCATCTTAGAGACCATGGGGGCTCTGGAGGTGATCCCCTGCACGCCACCTTTCTCCACCCTGACCAGGTCCCAGTGTAAGTCACAGGACAAACATGTTTGCTCATCTAGCACTGCACGTGTTCACATATGTAAATGTCACATACATTCCCCTCAGTTGATCAATTGTAGGAATCATTTTAGAGTCTGTGTGAAGGTTTGCATCAAAGAGCAAGGCAAGTTTATTTATGTCGCACATTTCAACAACAAGGTAATTCAAAGTGCTTCACACAAGACATCAAAAAGCATCATGACAGAGAAAAGAAATTAATAAATCTGAAAATATGTTCAAATAAAAATAATTCAAATGAAATTAATTGAAATAAATCAAGTAAAAAAAAAAACAACAGTGCAGAGTTAAAGTTTAAAATCTTATTAAAGCTGTTTAATTAAAGGCAGCTGTAAACAGGTGTGTCTTCAACCTGGATTTAAAAGAGCTCAGAGTTTCAGCAGACCTGCAGTTTTCTGGGAGTTTGATCCAGATATAAGGAGCATAGAAACTGAACACTGCTTCTCCATGTTTGGTTCTGACTCTGGGGACAGAGAGCAGACCTGTCCCAGACGATCTGAGCGGTCTGGATGGTTCGTAATTAATCAGGAGGTCACTAATGTATTTTGGCCCTAAACCATTAAGCGCTTTATAAACCAGCAGCAGGATTTTAAAGTCTTTTCTCTGACAGACTGGGAGCCAGTGTACAGACCTCAGAACTGGACTGATGTGATCCATTTTCTTGGTCTTTCTAGAGCAGACGATTAAAATACATTTCACAGACATTTTAGTGAACACTTTTAAAATCTAAACTCAGGCATGAAATGGACAACTAGCTGCAGATTTATAGTTATATATAGTATTATAAAAATCAGATTGAAGAGCGACCTGTATCGAGGTGCACAGCAGTAAAAAGGACATATGACAGTAATCCAATATTGGAAAAGAATGGTTTGTGAACCTGCTTGTTGTGTTCTCTGTCTAACTTCAGTGATCTACCACTATTGTGTGATCGTGGAGATGTTCTGCATCGGCCTGTACGCCCGCCACACTTTCCGTAAGGTGGAGCCGAGCGTGGTGGAGGACGAGGAGAGGCTGGTGGGTGTGACGGACAAAGCCGTTCAAACAGACGACGTTCAGAGGACTCGTCCAGAGCCAGGACAGAGGTCAGAGGAGGTTAGGCCCAGACGCTGCCTCAGCAGTGCCTCCGATCATCACAGCTACAGTAACATGGAGGACAGCCTGTGTAAGATCGAGCACACACCTCTGGAGGGTTTCCCCTTTCCTCCGGCTAGGAGGTCACGCAGACCGGAGCCAGTGGAGCTCGGGCCTGTAGAGGAAACTGATGTAGACGTGACCCATGTTACTGTCAGGGCTGATGTGAACTATCAGGAATCTAAAGATGTTACGATGGTTTGACAGGTGATGGCATCAAACAGAAGACTAGATTATGATGGCCCTGGATTGGATGCATGCGGGCATAAGGACTTACCTTGGAACTGGACACCCTGTGATATTACATATGGAGCAAAAACAGACACATATACGTATTTACAGAGAAGACTTTGCCTGACTGTAAATACTCATTCTCAACATTATGCAGAGTCACCAAATCTGTACAGCTTAAACTTAACCAGGGGTGTTGATTGAATTGTTTTTACGATGCGGATGTGGACGATTCTGTATCGATGTAGTGACAGATCATAATCGATTCTTGCGTACTGACTTTGCTCGTAGATTTTCCCGCTGTGACCTTCACCCATATTTATTTGTGTTTACAATGTAGAGTCATGTATGTTGATTTTGGTTTCTAAAGCACTTTCTAAAAAAAAAAAAAAGGGATTTCAAATGTATCTGACTGCTTGTCTTTATTGACTTGTGACAACTTGTGACATCACAATGCACATTTGAAAATGAACATTTTTCTCTGTGTTGTAAGACTTATGCAGACCACAAACAAAGGACTGGATGGGTTTAGATCACATTTTTTTGGTCGGTAGACACTCAGGTTACCCAAATATATGTTCAAAAAAACTGTCCCCTTTAATGTCTTGTGAGAGAAGAGCAGATATGAGATTATTCATCTTTTTGTTCCTGGATAATTAAAAATAAACTATTATAAATAAATGAAAAGGAAATGCTCGCTCACAGGTCCCTTTAAACTACATGTTGAAAGTATTTAGTTAAAATTAACTGTGACAGAAATAACGTTGTATCATGGATCAGGTGACGGTTATATTTTAGTTTGTACTTCTATTGTTAATGCTGGGATTAATTAATGTTTTTAAAGACTTACTACCCTTCAAGTTTCCCACCAAGAAGCAGAAATACTGCCGTAACTACTTTCTGAATCCTGCTAGCTTCCTACGACATCCTTTCTCTTCCGGTAAACCCTCCTCACCGCCTCTTAGCCAATCACAGGGGCGATAGCTGCCCCTCGTCCAATCAGCAGCCGCCTCAGTCTTTTGTGCGTCACAACCCTTCCCTGCGCTGCTGCTGCTCTTATTTTGGCGGCTGTGCGGAAAACATGGCGGAAAATTTGAAAGGTAACTCATGGGGGAACTCAAACGACGTAATATTCAAACTCACGGCTTTAAACCTTTACGTTTGCGTGAGACTTAGTGAAAACACGTCGAAAACTGTAGCTGTACACGCGTGGTTATTCTTACGTTTACGTAACTACAACACAAATTCGATGTAAAGTTATTGTTAGTTTGAGAAGAAAGCGAAGTCAAATGAAGTACCAGGCGGTTAAATCCAGCCTCCTTTGTGTAGAAATTGTTGTCGATTGAATGGAGATTAACTTCGATCAATCGTGTCTGTGATATCGATTACGGGAGGCGTACATTAATCGCTTTTTAAAGTTACTGTGGCACCATTGCATTGTACGGACAGGCTGCGTGGTTTAGCGGCAAAACTGTAAGCTTAACGCGCCATGCAGCCTCTCCTGCAGGTTTTCGTGCAAATACTTTGTGTTTTAATTGAATATTTTTTGTCATGCACGAGTTTAAAAAAAGTACCTGTATGACAAAAGTGACTTGCATGCTCCGAAACTCTTTTAGATGCATTGTGTCGATGACCTTTTCTAAACTATCATACGTAAACCATCTCTGTTTGTCACTTATATCTGCTTATTAAAACTGCAATGTTCAAATTACATGAGAGATTTAGCTTCTGTGATTGCTCTCTGCATGACACCGTTTGGTAAACTGTCTGCTTCAGCCTGCTTTCTGTGAAGTCTTCCACTGTCGTGTTTGTCGGTAGAAAGCGGGGATATTAAGATTAAAAATGAGATTTTATTGCAATAAAATGCTCATCATGGGGTTATATGTATGCCGAATTAACACATGCCTTCGACTATTATCAACAAGTGTCAAAACCATGTGTTGTTACTTGGCATATTTCAGCAGCAAGCAGTGTTGCTTTTAAATTCACACATTTTTAAGTGGAGTTTGGTGTAGACTTTGGAGCATTTGTTTTTCAAAGTTTTTTTTTTTTAAAGTGATTTTTCTGTGTGTCAGTTTGCAGCGTGCCCTGTAAAGTGTCATGGGATGAGCTGGAGGCTCTGTGTCGCACTGCAGGGCTTCACTGTAAAGAGCTTGGGGTGAACAAAGCCAACGTCAATGAGTATGAGGTGGAGTTCCTGTGTGACTACAAGAAGACAAAGGTAAGAAGAAATCAAACATATATGACGATTTACTGCCGTTTACAGCTTCACTGTTTGGTCTATTTCAAGCATGCACTGCATACCTTTCATACTGTACATTGATCAGAGGTGCTGCTTGTCAACAGGCAAGGCAGGAATCTTCTTGGGGCTCTAAATGACAGTAGGAAACCTCCCTAAGCGGGCCCCATCTGACAGCTCTCACTCATATGATAGTTGACTGAATGGTTCTTATCTAGCCCTAAATATAGGGGAGAGACGTCCGCAAAATTATTTTGTTGGTGTAGCAGGGGGAGAGATTTATGTAACAGGGTGTTGGATTAATACCAAAAGTGTGTTGACAAAAATGCAGCATGCGTAAGGACAGAAAAGCACATTTGTCATGTTGTGGGCACAAAGGCAGGCCACACCCTCACTTCCTCAATTAACTACAAACCATAGGTTTGCATACTTTCATTTTTCACTCAATTTAACATAAACATAAAATGTGCAGTATCTATTCTTTGTCGACCCGATAAAGAATCCAGTCCCTAACTGAAGTTGTTTTGTGTTTGATGAGGAGGAGGAGTTCTACCTGGTTAAGTGGAGGGGCTTTCCTGAGTCGGAGAATTCCTGGGAACCCAAGAGGAACCTCAAATGCACCAAGCTGATGAAGCAGTTCCACCTGGATCTGGAAAAGGAGCTGAGGCGCCACAAGAGACGCTGCATCCCCAAAAAGCTGGACAAGGAAGTTTCCACGTTCCTTGTGCAGAAAGCCAAACTCCGTCAGACTCTGCAGCGCTGGGAGAACCACTTGAACCAGACTCGCAACAGCCCCGGTCGAATTTTTGTCATCAACGATGTGGACTTCGAGGGCCCGCCGAAAAACTTTACCTACATCAACAACTACAAAGTAGGGCAGGGCATCGTGTTGGACGAGATGGCGGTGGGATGTGACTGTAAGAACTGCTTCGAGGATCCGGTGAACGGCTGCTGCCCCGGCGCCTCGCTGCACCGCATGGCCTACAATGAGAAGGGGCAGCTCCGGATCAGGGCGGGGAAGCCCATATACGAGTGTAACTCTCGGTGCTGCTGTGGCACGGATTGTCCGAACAGAGTGGTGCAGAAGGGGATCCAGTTCGACCTTTGCATCTTTAAGACGGAGAACGGGCGTGGGTGGGGCGTCCGCGCGCTGCAGCACATCAAGAAGAACACTTTCGTCATGGAGTACGTGGGCGAGGTAAGCCCTGGTTTTTTAATCATCGTCAGGGAAAGTCGTTTTTTAATGTTTACGACTCATGCAGCTCTCTGATTTGGGATTTTCTGATCTGATGATTTGTTGTTTCTTAACGCAATGCAGACTGAATTTTTTGTGTGACTGGAGCACTGCGACGGTTATTACCGGTTTGAATAGGAATTTTCCTCTTCATCCAAAAAATTCTGTCTCTGTAGGGATCCTTTTTGTAATATTGTCAGGCACTACCTACCTGATAACCCGATCACATCCTGGTTAAAAACAACCTGAATCTTATGCAGCCAATCAGCAGACAGGGAGGACGTTGCAGGAATCACCACCAGTTCTGCTTCTGCAGGCTGAAGCAACTCTTCTTCTATTGGATTGCAAAGCGGCTTCTGCTGTTTCCAGTCTCACGATGCTTCTTTTTGTTTTGCCTCTGAGCGGTCAAAAACGTCCCCCTTGTTGAGTTTGTGACATTTGATCGTCTGATAAATATTTAAACTCATTATTTTGAGTTTTTAAAATCAGACATTATCTATATGTTGTGCCTAAAAAAATGTTTGGTATCCGTTTAAATATCACCCGGTCTTGTTTCTCTCAGATCATCACCACAGACGAAGCGGAGAGGAGGGGTCACGTGTACGACCGCCAAGGCTCCACATACCTGTTTGACCTGGACTACGTGGAGGACGTGTACACGGTGGACGCAGCTCACCTCGGCAACATCTCCCACTTCGTCAACCACAGCGTGAGTATCCTTTCATCTGTGGATGGATCATAGTCAAACATTCAGAGGATTTTAAAGGCTTTATATGCGATTTTTTTGATCCAGCAGATGTCGCCCTTGAGCACCTGCATGAAACCAAAACAACTCATGCTGCATTGTTGTGTTAGCATGCTAATGCTAGCGATCTTTATTATGCTCGTATCTTCACACTGCATGTAAATTTACCTGAAATGAGCGTGATCTAGAAACACAGTTAAGCAGTGAGTACAGTATGTTATTCTTCTTTTCTCTAGTCCCTCAATTAAACAACTTTTATACACGAGGGGAGGAGTCAGCCGGCCGTCTGGGCGATGTAAACAAAGTGAAGATAGGACTCTGAAAACATCACAGACAGTGGGACTCGGGTGTTACACCCATTGTAGACAGTCATTACACACAGAGTTATTTTCGGAGGATATACTTGATTTATATTACATTTAAGTGTGAAAAATCACATCAAGCCTTTAAATGTGTTCAGCTGTCTTTTTTACCCCGAGTGTGAATAAAAGCTTCTGATACAGATGTCGTTCTTTTTTTTGCAGTGTAACCCCAACCTGCAAGTTTTTAACGTCTTCATCGATAACATCGACGAGAGGCTCCCGAGGATCGCTTTGTTTTCAACACGGGCCATTCGGGCAGGAGAGGAGCTCACCTTCGACTACAAGATGCAGAGTAAGTGTTGCTGATTCAGCAGATAAACATGTTTTAGATTTAACTAAAACCAGGGAGAGCTTAGCTTTCAGTCTAACCCCAAAATTCCAGCAGATGTGTTTCGGTCCGTCTTCGCTCCGTCATGTTAGCAGAGCTGATTTACACTTTAGTCAGTGTGTGTGTGTGTTCTTTCACTGGCTCCGCTGCGTCTCAGCTCCATCAGCGGATACACATCTGCTTTATTTTTCAGAATAAAACACTCAGTTACGACGGTTCAGAACAACGACTGTATGTTGTGTTTTGTTTAAACGGTTTTATACCACATACATCGTATTACTAATGCTTTCCAAATGAATCTGGAATTAATGCGGGAACTCCTTTGTCTCTGCACTCCAGCTGTTCAGTGGTTCATATAAAGTTCAGTACTTTATATTACTCTCTGAGAACGCAGCCTGTGGGTGTTGATGGACGAGGGAGCTTGGAGCGTACACACAATGCACGCGTATCTGGTGGAAGTTCTGGGTTATAGCGCTCTCAATTTAAAATGTTTTGTCGTGTTATCTCCGATGTTTGGCTCATTTAAAGTCTTTGTTTTTGAAGATTGTAGACTCAAAGTCCAGAAGATTAAGATAATTGATGGTAATGAGTAAGATGACGGTTAACAGACTTTATGCAAACATACTCACAGTCTGTCCTCCTGACACACAACTGAACATGCAGGTATAATAAGGTCAAACAACGACCACTGCTGATGTCCTCAATCAAACCCATTTAACATAACAAATAATCAACAGAGGTCAAAAAACACACATCATGGCTCCTGCAGCAGGAAGATTGGGAGAGTTGGGATTTACTTTAGTTATTAAATCATAGTTTGTTGTACGCTTCAAACTTGCAATGTGTGAAATCAAATTTATTCATCATAGAAAAGTAAAGCAGAAACAAACGAGTGTTTTCTTTTTTTGGCAATCAGGGAAAGAACAATTTATTCTTGTCATTTCCTTGCGTTGCTTCTGTTGCAAGCTGACAGAATACGCTTCATACAAACTGCCGTCCCAACTTTCTCTATGACGCGCCGAGCGGCTCGATGTCATTTTGGAGGCAGCTGCGAGGTTAGCTAGCGCATTAGCTCAGGGAGGGAGAGAAGAGTGAGGAAGATGAGGTTGATGACGAGGACCTTTTGCATTGAGAAAAAGGAAACAGCACTGCTCTCACTTGGACTCATTTTGGATTCAAGACTGACCACGTGTTGCAAAAAAGTACCGTGTGAGACGTGCAAAATGGTAGGTGGACATTAGGAAGTGTAAGTGTGCACAATGCAGTAACTGTTTATGTAAAAGAAGAAGAAGTGGATTTGAACATAGTGCAGGTTTAGTCTTTGTCAGTAAGGGAATAATCATCTGAAAGTCGCCCTTCATGTTCAGCGGGCTGAATGTTTAGCTTAGCTTAGCGTGCTCTTGTAGTGACCTCTCAGTAACCTGACTCCCGTTTGTTTCCAGTCGATCCAGTGGACACAGAAAGCACCAAAATGGACTCCAGTTTCAGCCTGGCGGGGCTGCCCAGCTCTCCGAAAAAGAGGACTCGAGTGGAGTGCCGGTGCGGCTCAGACTCGTGTCGAAAGTACCTGTTCTGACGAGGAGACCGCTGCGGGGCAAACACGCCCTCGTCTGTGTAAAGAAGTGGACATATGTACATATTTGTTTCGTTTACAAGGGTGAAATTCGCCGCCAACCTTTTCTATGTGAAAGCAATGAACTCTTTGGAGGTAAAAAAAAAAAACACAGAGCAGAGTGTTGAATGAATCAAACAGGAAGTGGAAACTCAATGTTTGTCTGAAGATTCAGGACTCTTACAGTGGATTATTTCAGTACTTTGAGTAATTCATGTTTTTTTTTTTAAACGTTCTTCTCTGTTCCCTTTTTTAATGGCTAGACACGTGAAGATAGATGTGCGAGCGTGCATGTACAGAAGATGACACATTAATTTGCAGGGCCGCTGTTGCCGTTGAAGCATATTTGACATTATTACCAACACATCGATTGGAGGCATTTATTTTTTATTTTTATCATATTAAATGGTCACAAGAGGCACTCGGCAAAGTGTCAGTATATTCTAATGAGATGAAATTAACGAGTAAATTCAGGAGCTTTTCTTGAGATCTCGACTTATTCATCTCGTTAACAACGCTGGCTTTCATTTCAGTTCATGTGTTTTATTTTGTTTTGTTCAAGCAGTACAATGAAGAGGCAATGTAGAACTCAAAATCGGTCCATTTTTTTAAGGTCTTGTCTCAAAATCAAAAACATTTTTACTCGGTCTTGTCTCTGTCTCAGACCGGGTAGACTCCAGATTTGAAATCAAGACCACTACTGATAGGATATTTTTCCAAGTCATTACTGTGATTAGAAGGAAAACACCTCTTTCTAAAAGAAATTGATATTTATGGTCTTGGTCTCGGAGCACTCTGGTTTCAGATGTGTCTTGATCTTGGTTAGTTTGGTTTTTTACTACAACACCAGTAGAGGCAAACTTTTTTTGTCACTTTTTTTTTCCGAAGGTGCAGGAAGAATCCACTTGTCTTCATACAAGGAAAAGAAAACAATGCGTAGTTAAATACATTCATATATGTATGTTTTCATGAATCTAAACTCAAAGACTTTCACGCTCTGCTGATCTCTGGCAAATCTGAATCCTTTTAGCTTCTTTAAAATGTGTTTTTATTTTTTTTACTCTTTCCATTATGCTGCTGATGCTCAGTGGAGTTCATAGTCGATTTGTAACTCTCACTTTGATTAAAAACTTGAGGCTTTTTCATTGTTATGTTTAAGTATGAACTGCCAGATCAACGTGTGCATCTGTTCTGAATAGAGCCCGGCCGATAGGGATTTTTGTGGCCGATACGATAAAGATATTGGGAAGGAAAAATATTAGATACCAAAATATCCTCAAATATCTTTCTTAGATTGACCTTTGATCTTTAGATATAAATATAGATAAACATTTATTGCTTTGTTCCCTCGGATGAAAGATTTATAATGAAGACAAAACGGTCACTCAACTGGAAAAAAACTGACCATGCCATCAACGCTTGACACTCTGGAGAGTGTATGTTGTAATCCATACAGCACCCTCTGCTGGTGACAGAGAACAGCTAGTGTAAGACAATGAAACTCAAAAGAAATGCTCTTCGACTGGTGAATAAATCTAGTAAAACTCGACGCATATCTGCGATAAAATTTGCAGATACTTTATACTCACTGGATAGGCTGCCTTGTTCTGAATGTTAAAACTGAAAGATGAAGAGTGTGACCTCACATCGCTTCCAGTCCCAAAGCCTCACTGATCTTGCTTCATGACTCCAAAGTGTTGTTTTTAAACCCCATTTGAGAACTGTTTCCCATCGAGGCTACAGCCGCCTTCAAACCTTTAAGACGTTTATAAAGTGTGGGTCACCATGCTACAAATAATTCCCATAGTCTACACAGTCTGGCATTAAGAAAGGAGGTATTTCAGAGGATCTTTTGATCTTTGAAACTCTGGGATCTATTACCGTCTTCAGACTACCAATCAACCGAAACACACCATGCTGCTCTCTTGAATATATTAATTACGAGGCAACCGACTTGAACCTGCAGACAAACTGCAGCGAGGGATCAGCCGTCCCTGCTGCTCAGTCTGACTCAGCTTTGACTCATTGCAGAGTTTCATGTGGTTTAAAGGGCCAGTTTATCCAGAGGACAACCAGAATTTTTTTTTTTTTTTAAATACTTTATTTCCACCCTACAACGACGTGGTGTCATTTCTTTTAACTCGTTGTCCTTCTTGTGACTGTTCAGTATGAAAGTCGGGGGCGAGTAGCTGATATGTGTTTGTATATATTTTAAAATTTTAGTTTTCTTGTACTGTAAAATGTGACTTTTTTTTAGGGTGAGGAAAAAAAACTGTAAATAAATGCTTAAAAAGTATGATGTGCTTTATGTTTGTTGTTGCAGTGTGACTAATTAACTTTTAGTTTTCATGTTCAACCACTAGAGGGCGCTTTGAACCACCTTTTATCTTTCAACCTTTCACCACACAAAATGTTTTTAAATCTCACTCAGTACTTGATAGTGTTGTAGTACTACAAATCGAATTGAAAGCATTTTTTCTTGGTTTTGTCTCTACTCAGACTGGGTGGACTCTTGATTTTAAATCAAGACCACCACTGTCATTACTGTGAAGGGAAAACACCTCTTTCTAAAAGTACAAATAACTTTTTTATCCTTTTTTATCCCCCGGTTAAGTCCGCAAAGTGAGAGACGCCAGCTGCATACAAGATGATGATTTTTTTATCGATAATTATGGTCTTGGTCTTGTCTCTGTCTCACCCTGTCTTGGTCTAGACTAGGTCTCGACCCCTAAATGTCTTGGTCTAGACTAGGTCTCGATCCCTAAATGTCTTGGTCTTGTCTCGGTCATCCTTGAAAGTCTGCACCATAATATCTAGTCATTTTTTTAAACCTTTAATTAACCAGGAAATAAAACTTGTTGAGATTAAAAGTCTCCTTTTCAAGAGTGTTCTGGCCAAGACAGGCAGCAGCACACATTTCTACCAATACAGACCCACAATGCCTGGCAACAGCCGCCAGCCATCGGCCATGAGCGTTGTTGACATAGACGAGCTATAAACCTGCTTAACGGGGGCTCCTCTTCTCGCTCTACTGCCGGGATGTAAACCAGAACTTCAAGTAGCGTGGAGCGGTTTGGTTGCATTCTGATCTAGAAAACAGAGACAAAGTTGTAGGTGGGTGGGTTAATCTAACACATAACTACTCGACTTGAACAATCTGTAACCACATTCAGCACAGGCGTGTGGATGTTTACCTGCAAGGAGGAGCTAAGGCTGGTGGTGCTAACCCTGCTAATGTTAGCCACAATTGGCTAAACCTATTTGACATCGTTTCCCTGCAGGCGCTTTGAACCCATGTTCAGCTGTGTTGAATCATTTTTTTTTAAGGGTTTTGACTTTAGATTAGTTGACTTGTCTGAAATTAAATTTGCCTTTAATCTAGAACTGTCGCTATAGGAACATCCCTAGCTGTGTGAAGCGTCTTCTTACAATCACATGCTCTGCAGAAAAGTACAAGTAGATGTTCTTTGGTTTTATATCCTGATTGGGCTTTGACCTCTCCTTTGGATTAAAGGACTTCTTGACTTCTGCTTGTGTCTTTGACTTTGGGGGTAACGTATTCTGTTGAATATTTTCTGCATCAATACCTTCTTTCCTGGCCGAGGTTACACGAGCAATCTGTGGGATCCCTGATGGATGTAAGCTTTGACTTGACTTATAAAAGGAGGCAGGCACATGGTGTTGTTTTGTTAAGAGTAATTATCGTGAGTAAGTAAGCATGAAAGTAAATGGATCATGACACTAAAGTCCGGCCTGATTCCATCAATCAGCTCCATGTGTGGTCCTTTCTCTGCGGTTCCTTTGTTGAAAATGTAGGCCAGCGTGATGTCCTCAGTAAAGGCTCAATCTTCCAACCTTAAGGGGTGTCTACCTCACGCCATGTGGTTCTGTGGATTTGCTGGATTTGTGGCAGATCAGGATTCCCTGAGCTTACCCATTGAGGGGACACGGTCGGTTTGATGTCAATGAAAGGTGAAAAGCCACATCAGGCTCACAGCGTGTGTCCGGGTCAAATGACACCACAGTGCTAGTTTGTTTGGACTACCAGTAGCCTTTCACCTGGGGTTGTTTGGTGTCTACAGTCTGTCTCCTCTTGATGCTGGCTGTCAAGAAACCCTTCCCTAATGTGATTAGGTTTTGTTCAAAATGTAAAAGTAAAATACAAGATACAAAGTAGCACAACCCAAATTTTCCAAACTCCAAAGCCTTTGTCATTACGGTTCATTCTGAGCTCAGATTTGTATTGCAAAAATGAATAATGGTTGCACTCTTTGAAGGCATTTTTAAATTATCAAATCATCAAAAACACTTTCCTGGTTTCCATGAATCACTGTGGATTAAAGTACAAGATAAGATTGCTAGTGAAGCTTTCATCAAAGTTAATACCTGAATTCAGTCATTTTCTATTTGCCCTGAAACAGAAAATACAGCGTTCTCCCCAAACTGATGAACCATGTGGTTTTTAAATAAAGGAGCTGGGAGTGAAATACTGTTTTCTGTTTAATGCTTGTCAAGACTTCAGCTGATGGTACTGTGAGTCTTTAGAGGTCTGAAATATTAAAACTCCATGTTACACTGTTACAGCATCTCTGTGTGCAGCAGAAACTTAAATCCCAGGGGGTTAAGTAAATAAATAAGAGGACCAAACTTTGGCTCTGTACACTTTGAACTAGTTTCCTTGCAGTTTGTTGCAGACCACATACATTTGTTTGCGTATATATTTTCCCCAGAGTAGTTTTACATTGTCGTCATTTGTGACCAAAAGAGGGCAAAGACCTTCACTCATGTCTCTAGCCTTGTTACTGCTTAGTTCAGAGGTAAAGATGCAATGATTGTGACAATCAGGACAGATACTGATGTTAAAGGATCCAATCAGTAAGATATCTACTGACTGAAATGATAAAGTGACCTTACTATATGATCAGACATTAAGGAAACATGCTATGTTGAAGTGCTGGCTTCTCTGACAACAATGCAGCAGCCAGTATGACCTCCTTCTAACTTTAGATTCTGGTCCTGAATGCTCTGGATTTGTTTGGAACCAGAGAAGGTAGGCGCTTGTAAGACACCCCCCACACGGCCGATTTGGATGCCCCTCGGTTTGCCAGATATGAGAGCAGTTATCAGGTCAAACCAACAGGTGTTGCAGTGATGGAAGCGGGCAAGAGAAGTGGTTCAGATAGAAGTGATTGTACCCGACCTAAAAAGCCTCTGCATGTTTCTAATAAGCTCCACGAGCAGAAACGTGCTCAAACTAGGATCAATATTGGAGATGCTTTTGAAAAATGGAGAGAGGTTAGAACGCAGAAAGGTTTACAGACCCATGCAGAGCTGGATAAACACTGAAGCTTCAGTGTCCACCACATGGCAACCTGCGTGAGCATGGACTCTAGGGAGGAGGGGGCGGGAGGAGACAGGTTTTTTGAAATTTGTTTTGAGATTTTATATATAACCTTATTAAATGTGCCTGAAGTGATATGTGTGCTCCAGTTCTTTCTTTGGATCCTGTCTGAGAAAAGGAGTCCACTAAATTAACTAATAATAAATAAATTATATTTTGAACATCTTTGGTACTTTTCTGAGAGCACCATTTGGAGAATGGCTGAAGAGCGAAAGTTTCTTTCTACATTTCCCCAGAGTGAACAAGAGCTCACCATCATCACATCAGTAAAATGCAAACCTTTAAACATGTTTTGTTTGCACACTGTGCCCTGGAGTCTCAGTCATAATAATGTCCTGATCATTTCAAATGAAATTTATTTTCATTACAAAACCATCAACAGAAATCAGAAATCGCCAGAGTCATGCGTAATAGCTCAACCACTTTTTTTTTAATAATACAGAACAAAGGGAAACCGCAGCGTCTGACTTCACTCCATGATATTCAGCAGTCAGAAGAAATTCCCTTAACATCCGTCAAAACTTCAAACCTTTGGATGTTTATTTTTTGACTGTGACAGGATGCGCAGAGATGAGATTATTCTTCTAAACCTTCAACACGTAATGTTCTACTTCAAGGTGAAAATAAATCATAACAAATCTGAAGGATTCAACCTCTCTGAGACTTGGTAATGTTTTGAATTTCATAGCCCCTATGATACATTTCTTTAACTTTCACACTAAAACAGTCAACGACTGATTCAGACATTCACTTGTCAAATTAGTATGTGCTGCTGGAGCCTCGTCACACCAGCGTTTAAAACAGCTGTGTTGTGCTGTGCACAAGATGCAGTGTGAAAAAGGCCAACAAGTTCTATTTCTTTAAAGGTCACATATTATCTAAAATCCACTTCACCATATTTCTCTAACACTAACAAGTGTCCCGAGTCTGTCTACAAACCCCCCCAGATGATGAGAAAAGTCCATTCTCTCCGTCTTTAGTCTGCTCCACTTTTCAGAGAATGTGTGCTCAAACAGGCCGTTTAGAGATTTTCCCTTCATGACATCACAAAGGGCAATAGCCCCTCCCCCAGGTGGATGACGCTCCCACAGCTAGGTGTTTGTTTTGCCCTCTGAGTCTGCCTTCTCACTGTAAACAATAGGACATGGAGTGAGAATGCTCGAGTACACCCAAGCCCTTCCAGAGAGGGGGCGTGGTCAGACACAGCTCATTTACATATTTAAAGGTACAGACACAGAAACAGCCTGTTCTGAGCAGGGCTGAAATAGAGGGGTTTATAGACATGATCAAATACAGGATCAGAGTGGATTTAGAACAAGAAACTTGACACACATATTTTGAGGAGCTCTGAGACTTATTTAAACTGGTTGAAGAGGAGGAGCATATGTGACCTTTAAACTCCCTTTGAACTTGCTCGTCCTATCCTAACTGCAAAATCTAAACATTTTTATTTCCTTCTGCACTTTGGAGCTCCTACCAGCTTGTTCATTTCAATGAAATACTCCTCTAGAAATAAAACCTGCAGTGGAAAATAAGTGTAGTTTGTGATACAGTATAAAGCTTCTTGTTTGACTGAATGCCTAAATTGACTCCTAATTTGGTTAGCTTCACCACTAGCATCTCTGCTAACAGCTTGCTTATTTTGGTGTGACCTGGCCGTTAAATCTGTATATCCAATGTTTGAGACAAAACTTAAACATTAAAGGATAATTCCATTGTACAATAGCATGGTTGTTATCTGGAGCTATCCTTTTAAAGAGGATAACAATTGGAGTTCTGATTTGATTCTGACTGAAACCGCCATGTCGACCTGCTTGGTTTTCTTTGTTTTAGTTCTTCAAAGAAACATTCAAAAGGTGGCTAATGTATGCAGGAACATTTGGCCTGTTCGAAAGCTTTACGTCAAGCTGTTTTCACCTTCATTAATCCCAACATATGTACAAAAAAATCCAGTCAATTAATTATAATCTATTACATGTTTTACAAAAAGGGACTTCAGTAAACTTCATTGGTTTGGAAACACATTCAGATCTTTGAGTCGACATGAGAAATACCGAGGAAGCATTTGCAGGAATGATATCTTCAAGATGCAAAATGTGTTGGTCAGTATTTTCCCTCCTGGCTCGATCCTGTTACCATCATCCAACACATACACACAATCATACCTGCCAATAGAAACACACACACTCTCACACACACACACACACACACACACACACACACACAAACACACACACACTCACAGTAAAAATACGATGATGAGGAACTCTTCTGTTGCATTTCAAAGTTGGTTTGCTGTCAATATAATACACACTAAATAGTACAGAGGTCACAGTAAATTTACAAAAGATAATCTGCCTGAGGCAACTAAAAACAGAAAAAGCACGCTCAGTCCTCTCCAGCGTCAACTGGGAATCCTCACGTTTCTCTGGCTTTGTCCCACAAATGAAAATGGAAAGAGTGGTCATTTCTCCTTCATCCATCATGTTGATATCCAAGAGAAGGAGAAAGAAAGAAAACAACCAATAGCTGAAAAAGAATCCAACAAAAATCGAGAGCATCGTCAGTCTGCGGTACAAAAGTCTACTATGTGATCCATTTTCAGTCCATGACCTTAGTTCCTCCGGGTTTGGATGGGAAGAGCAACAAGTCTCCCAAAAATGTCACGAGTGTACACAGTGTTCTATTTCCTCCTCTTGAATGACTTTTAGCACACACAGAAGAGACACATTTCTCTACTCTTTGTTGCATTGGTTTTTCATGGAGTAAGGCCATAATTCTTAAAACTAAAAACAAGATTCTCTGTGGCATGCTGTTGTCAGGTGTTTTTTTTTTTTTCTTATGCCACGGCCGAGACAAAGGGGCACCTCAAACCCCACTTTACAAACGTTTTCACCCTCGGTCTTAAACTCGGACTTTGTCATCTTTTTCAGACATTCACTGACAAATTACAATCTCTGTGCCCTGTCCTTTACTTTCACCTACACTCCACTTCAAGTTACAGATCATTCTCAGAGAGAGAAACGGGAGAGAAGCACAGTTCATCGATTTAGATTTGTGCAAAAATAAAGCAGTAGATGTCCCCTCTACTGCAGTTCTCATTCCTTCAATACTCAGTGTCCCCCCCCCCCCCCCCCTAAATACCCTCTGTGTTCAATAATCTTGTCATCTAACATGGTGGTTTACATTTTCTTTTTTAAAGATGTTCAGCGGCATTTTAAACTTTTATAGTGTAGTTTTCAAACGTATCTTGTACAAGGGAGTATTAGGGCAACATGGGGGGGGGGGTGGAGAGTTCAAGATTAAAGTCACAAATGAATAAAGTCGTAAATTTGCAAAGAGAATCGTAAATTTAGGAGAAAGAAGTCGTAAGAGAAAAAAGTCATGCAATTAAGTACATTAAAGTCATGAATTTACGAGAAGAAAGTTGTAAATGTAGGAGAAAAAAGTCGTAAGAGAAAGTCAGAAATTTACAAGATTAAAGTCGTAAATTTAGAAGAATTAAGTTGTAAATTTGTGAGACGAAAATCGTAAAGTCAAGAGATTAGTCTTAAATTTACTAGAATAAAGTTGTACATTTATGAGATTAAAGTCGTAAATTTAGTAGAATAACGTCGTAAATTTAGGAGAAAAAAGTTGGAAATTTACGACGATCAAGTTGAAAATTTAGGAGAATAAAGTCCTGATTTTAGTCTAGTTATAGAGCATCTTGAGCATCTTGTGAAGTTCTACTTTAGTAAAGGTTTCACAAATAAGTAAATACTTCAATATCAGGACCCTGAAAAGATTCTGGAAGAAGCTCGGGCAGAGGAAACGGCTTTGAGGGTTACCCTTTCTTCAGGTGTACTGCTGCTCTTCTGATACAACCTTTCAGAACCATTTTACAAATTTAACATTGTTTATTGACTGCTTTAGTCTTGTTAATTTGGCCCTAATACTCCGTCGTAATCCTGCAAATGAGACTTAAGGTAAAATGTGTTAGTAATGTGACTTTATATCCTAATGAATCTCAGTAAAAAGCTTTGATTTGTATCACTGGTTTGAAAGTCAGAATTCAGACTTTAAATAAAACAATACTGAGTTTCATATGTGACCTAAATCTGTCGATTTTGGAATTATATTTATTTTTAAAATAATTACTTTTTTTCATCTTAACATGGACATTTTTAAAAGGAGTACAGTGAAATGGCTAAAGCTCTTCTCCAGCAGTTACACCAAATCTCTCTATCTTATCAAGCCTTGTTGAGTTAGTTCTAATCCCAAAGGCAAGACTCAAAAGTTAAAAAACGGACATGAATGATCTTCCTGTTGTTACCTTAAGCTCCTGTTTGCTTTAGGGGAGATGGTCTGCTCTGTGCTTTGGTTGTATATCGTCACATTTTACTTGACAGACAGCTTTTCACATGGATCAGACTTGGCTTAAAAAACAAGTGATTGGAGACGTGATTACAGTTATCAGTGCCCAGTTACATACAGTAGTCCCTCTAGATAATAAACTCTAAAGCACATCTACTTGTAAAAATCTGTTGTTACGTTTGATGTTTGAAGGTAGATTCAAGGCTTCAAGTCCTCTTAGTATGTTTTCTGTTTTACAAGGGAGCAACACCAACTGTGAGTGCTTTAGGATGCGATCACTCGCACAGATGGAAGTTTGTCCCGAATCGTTTTCTGCACAGACTTTCTGCACTTTTTTCTCCTTTGTAAATGGATTTTGTACGATCAACGGATCGTCATGTGGAGGTAAAGACAATCAAAACAAATCTTTCTCATTAAGTTTTGGTGTCTTCTAGAGACTCCAAATCAGAGGACATCACGACAGTCTCTCAGTCTCTCTCTATCTCCGATATGTGCCGATATAACTAGGATTACAATACAATATTTGTCCATTTCTTTTGTTTTTTGTGACATTCAACTGGATATAGTTGTCTGTGCACCGCTGTGTGAAGTGAGATATGGTGCAGTCCTTATGTCCAGTGATGGTGGTGATGGTGGAAGATGTCACAGAGCCAACTCTGATGGCTTGTGGTCTGTTGGTGAGAAAGCTGTAAACCCATTATTCAAATTCAAAGTTTGGTATTTATTCTTATATAGCTTATTTTTAGAATTTCTAACTTAGTGTTTCAGTGCTCTGTTGTTATTCTGGCCCATTAAAAAAAAAAAAAATCTTTGATAGTACATTTGAGGGCTCAATGCACTAAATGTGTTTGTATATCTATATTTTTCTATCTCTTAAGAGCCAAGAGAGATCCGAGAAAGAAATTGGTTGATGTATCATTATCGGAATTGTTTCTCTCCCTTATATCGGTGTCGGGCCTCTTGGTTTTAAAAGTGACAAGCATGTGTTGGATGCTTTCACTGAGTGTCCAAAGAAGTCAGCTTGCATTGAAATGTTGAAGGAAATGGGGTTAGGGTTAGGGTCTTCTGCAATAATTTAAGATGGCTAACAAGTTTATGTTCTCAGGTCCCTTGTTTCTAGTCTTCTTTAATCATCCTGTAGGTTATTTGGTGAATTTTAGTGCGAGTGTAAAACTGGAAAACTTGAAGCCTAAAATGGGTAGAACAAAAACGGATGTGTGACTTGACAGTGGCTACTTCACTTCACAGTCTATGGTTAAAACATGTTTTAATGTTACGTGATCAAAGTGGTAACAGATACATTGCAGCTTAACTTGACTTTTATTTTTAAAAGCTAAACCATGTCTGATATTTTGTACTGAAGGGTGAAGAAAACTGGAGCGTTTCTTTTGCTTCAAAGGCTTCAAAGAGGAAAAACTAGTTTTGTGGTTTCTACATGAAGACGGTCAGTTAACAATTCAAATGATTCATTAAAAATGTATACCAAATTCAACCTCCAACAGCTATTTACATACATTCACAAGTGCATTTCATGCTCCAGAAATGCCAGGTGGTCTGTCAGAAATAGTTGGGTGCATATTGTAGCTTTGGGGAAATGTCCACTGAACATCTGCGCATGGACGAGCATGGCAGTCATCATTATCTGTGACTGAGAGATGGCTAGTGGGCATTTAGGGGGACATGTTTTTTGAGTTATTTAAAGAAAAAACCTGCTCTTGGCATTGTTTTGTTCCATCGTGGTCGTCTTTGAGGGCAGGACTTAGTTGATCTTTTTTGAAATTTCCTCATAGAACTCATAGACACTCAGAGACTCAAACTTGAAGAGATTTTAGAGACGCATTTTATGCAACTGGGCACTGTGCTATCACGCGCCATAAAATATGGTTGGGCGGAAACTTCTGCTACTGTAACTGAGATAATCTATTGTCTGAAATACAGTATATGCACAGAATTAAAAGACACATGTTTTGATGGCACATATCTGCAGAAGTTACCATATTTGTCTTCGTTAATATCAAGAAGTAGACATGAATAACTCGTCAACAGTGACAACAAAGGAAGGACATCAAAGCTGGTGTTTTTGTCCCTTGAGTTTATGTCAGACACAGAAACAGTAATTTTATGTTCCTTATTTGGGGAAGAGCGTTTGCACGGTCAGTTTATAACATCTCCCTTGCCCCTGATAAAAGGTCACTCTTCATAATGTCACTCTTTGGGGTGCCTTTATGTCCTATACTGTCCAACACGTAATACTTCGGCTGCAATTTAATATTTCATAACGATAGAGCTGAAAATAACAGAGACTACATTTGGATAAAATGTGTCAGAAAATCCAAACAATATGCTTTTAGACCCCTACAGTCATTTTTGTCAAGTACCAAACCGGATGACCACAAACAGCAATGTCTGCGGTTCATATTAGACTCAACTAGGTTGCATCTCTCTCTAATTTCCTCTCAGTGTTTAATAAATAATCCTATCTGGGTTTGCCTACCTACTGCAGCATGTTAGTAAAATTTAGCTATTTAAAATGGGGAAAAAAATGCTTCAATGTCCTTAGTAATTTCTTTTCACAAAGCTTACCAAAACATCCTTTGTTTCAAACCCCTCTTATTGGCCACGTTGACATTCTTAGCAAAACTGCTTATGTAATCTGGCTTGGTTTCCACAATGTTCTGCTATTAAAGTTTGTCTCTAATAACCAAAAGTAAGGGTCTGACTTCATGTATGCCGTTGTTTTGAGTGACAAAGGGTTTGGTAGATGAAAACACATGCTTACCATTCCAGTGTTTTTACCATTACCCCCTACTGTTTACACCCATGACTTAAATGTAGCTTGCATTGAATCAAATGCCTAAATAACTCAAGCAACACTCCCACAACACGTCTGTTGGCTTCCCCTTGATTTTCTCTTCTAGATCATCATCTCTGCTTACATGACACAATAAGGCTCTCGTGGCAGATGAGGTTTAGTCCTGCAGCAGGCTGGTAGGTGGGAAAGGAGCCCTTTCTTCAAGTCTTTGTTCAGGAAGAAACAGACAATAGGGTTGACCCCGGCTTGGGCGAAACTCATCCACACCGTGGTGGAGAGGTACCGGTGTGGAATTGTGCAAGCCTTGACAAATACTCTCCAATAGCAAGCCACTATGTAGGGAGACCACAGCACCAGGAACAGCAGGGTGATCACGTAGAACATCCTGCCAAGCTGCTTCTCAGCTTTGAACTCCTCCATGCCCAATAGGCGCCGGTTCTGGTTGTGCAAGTTCTGCCGGATTCCCAGCAGAGTTGGCGGCATTGGGCCCCTGCCAAAGCCTGCAATCCAGTTTGCTGCTGCTTGTCCGGTGGCCCCCGGCCCGTGGAAGGTCCAGTTCTGACTGATAGCCGGCACCATCTGGACTGGCTTCATCTTGCGATGCTTGTACTCAAAGAGGAGTAACTTCATATAGACAACATGTGTGGCTAGAATGAGCACAGCCAGCATTAGCATGAAGCCTAGCGTATCATTAGCCTTGAAGTAGCGGTGCTCAAAGATGCACTGGTCCTCCTCTCGAATGAATTTATAGGTGCCCACGTCAAAGACAGGAGGAAAAGCCATAGCCACTGACAGGGTCCAAACCATGCACACCACTGCCACACATGTCCAAAATGTCATACGTTTTGAGTAAAAGCGGTGGTGTGCAATGGCCATATAGCGAGTTACGCTAATGCAGAACAGCATGAAGGCGGCATGGAAGCAGAACAACACTGCCATGAATGCCACCACCTTGCAGCTCAGCACGCTGTAGGTCCAGGCCGAACCGTTCTTAATAGACACCAGAACAAAGGGGAAGCAGATGGCTGAGCGGATGGTGTCGGCCAGACACAAGTCCAGCAGGAAGTAGTAAGGTGCTTTATGCAGTGCCCGGTCCCGCAGTACGAGCAGAGACACCACCAGGTTGCCCACCAGGCTGATGCAGATGATCAGCCCCAGCAGCACCAGTTTGATGTAGGTAGAGACAGCCGACGAAGGACTATCTGCTACAACACCTCCTGCCGTTGCCACCACCGCTGCCATGGGCCCAGCAGGCCCTTCGCTGCTTTCATTCCCATTCGCCATCCCGAACACACCCCCAGCCATACCACCTTTTCTTCTGACGCCACTCCCCCACCACCTCCTCCGCCTGCTAGTTGATCCTTCGTCCTCGTGGTTGCTTCCGTTTTGCAGTTCACAAGGAATAGGAACACATCAGTCCACATCGCTCCATTTTGAGCGGGGTCCCTCTGTGACACGTCTTCTAACCTCCCGATCCCTAAACAAGGAAGACATAGAATGACATTTTTGCAGTTAGGTGTTGACTTCCTATGATACTGGGAGAAAATTTAAAGCCATCTAAACACAAATGTTTCTGAGACCAAATGTTTTAAGTACCTTGGGGTTTGGTTTTGTTCAAACTCTTTAGTGAAGGTTTATTTTGGTGTAAGCAGACATTCAATAGGTGTACTGTCTGTTCAGTGTACTTACAAGGTCACTCCGTGTCAATTTATGTGCAATGTGAAGCTACGAGCTAACTGAAGAGTGCTAACATTAGCATGCTAACACAACAATGCAGGCCACAGTTAAAGGAAAAATGTTTCCGCCGCTTGTGCTTAATGGTGCTTAAATATGGTGCGTGTAGAGGGGTTGGAGGTATGTCTCTGAAGGAGAGCGGAGGCTGCAGTATAGAGGAGGTGTGGCCACACAGCAGTTTGTTTTGTTTTCATGCTGGTGCTCAAGGGGGACATCTACTGGATCAAAAAGTCACATTCTCCCTTTAAATTAAAGAAGAAAACGTTTAAATCCCTCTTCTGCAAAGTTATGGAACTATCTTCTAAACATGCTCTGTGTAAATGAATTAAACATAATAAAGTGTCTGAGTGATGGGACTTTTCCTCACACATTGGGAAGTTAAAACCGAGGTGTGTCTAGCATCCTTATTCCCTATTACATTTTTTTAGTAAATTTCAGAACCATGGTCGTTGGGTGCATGTTTGTTAATCAGCACTCATGAAGGGTTAAGATCCAGTTGCTGTATCAACACACAGTTATTTTGTGGTGAACTCTGTGTGACTCAAGAGTTTATAAATAACTACAAAAAGCTCAGCAAAGTATAGCACGACTCGCTGTCCTCACCAGAATCTCATTTTCATTCAACAAACCCCACAGTGGATCCAAGAATATTTATACGACTAACATATTATCTTACAGATATCCTTTGTTCCTGGAACACTTTGCGGCTACAAAAAGTTGAAGGAAAAGGAAGACAAACAACATATTGCAAATCAAATTGAAGACTGAAACATAGAAATACAAACAGGAGAAAATGAAAGAAGAAAATGAGAAAAACGTTTGACCAATAAAGAAAACATTGGCTCAACGTTGAGCAGCAGCTAAGGTCCCTAATGAACAGTCAAGATTTACATTAGCCAGGTTCAACCAGCTGAGAAGACAGGCTGTGTTTTCTAAAACTATCTAAGATGTCCCTGCTCTGTCTCTTATTTCATCTGGAGGTGTTTTCAGACCAAACAGTCCTGGGGGAACTCCCTGAGAGGAACTGCCCATTGGGGATCTGGCCTGATAACGTATACCTTCAAGGGCATCTTTTCTATTTGCATTTGCACCACCAAGTGAATCCTTAAGTGGCCAGCAGTTGGTGTAGCAGGGCGATATACATCGACAACTATAATAACAAGCTCAGGGATGAGAGTCTGAGATGTGTTTGTTGTGTTAACGGGTGTGTGATAATAACAGAGTTGTGAATGATAGGTCTGTTTATTAGAATTCACTGTTGCAACATTTTCCATATTCCTGTTGATTTTTTAGCTCTGCAGTAACGGGTATGTGGTTTTTAAAGATGGCAGACACTGGTGCTGCTTTGTCACGTATTTTATCCACTCATCCTGGGTAATTCACTGGACCGATGTCCTTAAATTACTTCCTTTGGGGTGCTGGTTTAGCTCAGTTGGTGGGGCAAGTGCCCCATATACACAGGCTACAGGGTTAGACAAACCGGCTGCAGGTTCGACTCCCGTCCTCATCCCTTTGATGCAAGTCTACCTCACTCTCTTCCCCCAACATAATTATGTCCTACCAATATAGGCAAAAATGTCAAAAAATGAATTTAAAAAATGTCCATCTTGGAAGGTTACCCTGCGCTGGGAAGTAAAATATCTAAAGTAGGCGTTAAATGGAAGTATTAGAACCAATATTGGTAAGAGCTCTTGCAGTGAAATCACCAGAAAAAAAAGGAAGTGGGGTCTGATCTGGTTCTTGGTTTTCAGCTCACGAGGCCTTCTGCCATCTTTAATGTTCTTTGGTATCACTTTGCTTTCACTGCTGCTGTACAAAACGCCAGCTGTGAGAACCATGTCACTACAGGTGCTCTGAAAATATCTTTGCCTCCGCTTTGCTGTGACTTATGCAATTGAACTATTGAATTACATTTGTTCCCATGACAACCGCGAGGTATTTCCAGGATCCTATGAGAAGGTCATATAGAAATGTTTTAACTGCTTTGCAACTGGAGTGTCCTTGCTCTAAATTTTATTTGAGTTTCTGGAGATGGATAAGCACAAATGCTGTAACTCGATGAATAGATGCACGTTAAAAAATCTACACAGTAGCTGGAGTGAGCGCATGGCATTATTCAAAAACCTTACCATAACCCCAAAACCACTAATAATACTATGGTCAGACAAGACAATATCAGCCTAAGTCTAATAACAGAATGTATGCCCATACCAGGAATGAAAATAGGAATCCGGAAACACTCCTTGCCCTTCCTTCAAACCCCTTTCCTAAATAGCTGGTCACATTTTATGTAAAATCCACTTCACCATGTTTCTCTAACTCTAATATGTGTCTCTAGTCCGTCTACAAACCCCCCAATCATGAGTAAAGTCCATCCTCTCCATCGTCTGCCTGCTCCACTTTTCAGAAAATGTGTGCTCAAACAGGCCGTTTAGAGATTTTCCCTTCATGACATCACAAAGGGCAGTAACCCCTCCCCCAGGTGGGTGACACTCCCACAGCTAGGTGTTTGTTCTGCCCTCTGAATCTGCCTTCTCACTGTAAACAATAGGAAATGGAGCGAGAATGCTCGAGTACACCAGAGCCCTTCCAGAGAGGGGGCGTGGTCAGACACAGCTCATTTACATATTTAAAGGTACAGACACAGAAACAGCCTGTTCTGAGCAGGGCTGAAATAGAGGGGATCAGCAGCAGTTTCAATTTATCCAGGACAACAGAGCTCAACAGTGACCGTTAGATACTGTCAAAGTTCTGTTGCTCTACTTCCTGTTTTGATACACACCTGCTTTTATTTTTAAAGAGAATAAGGAACTTGTGGTAGACCGATGGTTAGAACATTAGCTCAAACGCGGGAAAAAGGAACTTGTTACGGATCAAAAGTAAATCAAATCAGGTAAAAAGGACGGTTAGAAACTGAAATGTTTGTCACAAGGGGGATATTATTTTTTGACTCGTCCACTGAGACGTCTAGGAGTGATTCTTGCAGACCATTTAAGGTGCAGAGATGTTCGTTTTCATGACTGTGACAGTGGAGTATCTTTTTTATGTGCTGTGCATGTTAAGATCAATACACGGTCTCAAAAACCCGATAAAGGTTTTTCATTTCGCAAATAAACATTGTGTCCTGATTAAGACTGAAACTAGCATATACTCATAACCGACCAGTGAGGTGAGACTTTTAATGCGCCGATTGAATTTCAGTTCATGTTAGCACACTGTCAGTGTAAAGCTTAGGGCAGCATTGTGAAGAAGTCGCAGACGACCTAGTGGTGAGGTCACCCCCATCATGTTCGGAGGCTGTAGTCTTTCAAGCAGGCAGCCCGGGTTTGATTCCGGCCCTTGGCCCGTGTCATTCCCCACGCCCCCTCATCACGATTTCCTCCTCAATCCACTGATCTGTCCAATAAAGGTAAAAAGCTCCAAAACAAAAAAACACCTTTTAAAAATCAAATGACATCGACACGTTTCGATAACATGGCGACAAAAATCCAAAAGTCCTACAGGCACCCAGTAGCAGCTTTAGGTTAATATGGCTTGAAGCTTTGTTACTTTATGTTATCATAAACTAGTAAATTAACCAAGATTTTATCGTTTTAAATCATGTGGTGTCAGAAAGAATTGCAGTATTTAATAGTTTGACGACCAAATGCACAAGTGTGTCGTTAAAAAAACTGCCTCCATGTCTGTGAACTTCTGGGTTTTAATATGTGAGGGGAGACACAAAGCAAACAATGGTGAATTTCAGTTTTGCCTTTTCATGATATAAACCACTGGATGTATCACAACACACCTCTGATTACAGTATTAAGCTGTATCACTTGGTTAGTATGTTATACAGCTGTTTTAAAAAAGGAGGAATGAAATCTCATTTGAAGAAATCAAAACCCTTCTTTGTTTTGCTCCTTTTAAAAGGACAAGTGTATGCATCTATGGGAAACTGTGAGGAGAGGCTGTGTGTCTTGAAGGAGGGGCTTTGTGAAGCTGGAAGTTGGTTGGCGGCGGAGGGCAGAGTCACTGTCAGGAACTGGGTAGCAACAGCAGCCCAATACCTCTGGCTTGATGTTGGTGGGAGGAGGCGACAAAGCTCACTGGATGAGATGTAGACTGAGTTTGGTCTCTGACAGCAGGGCCCAGCATCAGGCCTCCTCATGAGGAGCCTACAGGTCTGATGAGGACTACTGCCAGAGAGCCACCAGCTGCTGCAGTCCAGTGTAAAAAAAATCACAAAGCACAGAGCATGTTTCCCTTCAGGAGGTGGCGCTATGCTCTCTTGAGGGGCACATTACACCAAATCGTATTAAATCACTTGGCTGTCCCGGTGCAGAGCGAGGCCCTACAGCTGGGGGAAATCCTGTATTATTTATCATCAACACAACACGGCGTCACTGCTGCTGTGATGCATGCATGTAATATGAGGATTTGCTCTGATGATCACTCTGTCGAGGCTGAGGCAGACAAAAGACACCAGTCCCACAGAGCCGGGGGAGTCTGGGCCTGCAGGAGGCAGCAAGCACTCAAATAAAAAAAAGCATGCAGGGGGATGCAGAGGCAAGCTGCATGCACATTTTGCAGATCGGGGGACCTGTGGGCAATACAAAATGGTAGTCATGTTGTGCTCCTTACCTGCTGTGGGGCTGCTTGTCCTCCACACTATATGGCAGGCAGGCCGTCTGTTTTGTTGCAGTCTACATAAAATACGGGCTACAACGATCCACCTGGCTGTTCCCACTTAAAAATGACAAGCTGGAAAACAAAAGATAAATACGAAATGCAGCAGTGTCAGTCCTCCAAGTCTGTGGAAAAGGGGTGTCTAGGAAGCCTGTTGCGGACCCCCTTTAAAAAACAAAGGTTTTACAGAAGCTAAAGCTGCGTTTCCTCCTTTTTCTTGTGCATGTCATGTCTCCTTGTTTTCCACAGACGTGGGTTCATCACCATTCAGATGCTGTTTATTTCATCAGTGTGTCAACTCCACTCTTGACTATCATAAAATCCCTACTCCAGCGTTTGAAAATTCATAATTCCCTGCAGCTGACAGACTCCAGCAGACGCCCTGTGGAGCATCTCCTGCTCGAGGTTTTCGGAAACCCTGTTGTCGATCCTCCGCCGCACTTCCTTTCGCATTGTTCCAGTCAGTCCAAGGGAACCCTCATCTTTCTTCTTCTTTAAACCCTTTGGCATTATGAGACATCCCCAGGCAGGTCTTCTGGTCCGAAACGGATCTGTTTGTTGAGGCCAGGAAGTCCCGAGCAGGCGGGTTCGGGCTGCGGGATGACACCGAGGCCGATCCTCATTCTGTCCCGCAGCCCGTCAGCGGCCAGCCGGGCATCTCACCAAGCAGAGAGCCGTTCCGAGCCAAGACGGGATGGGAAATATCCGAGATGAGGTTCCTTTGTTCCTGAGCTGTCTCCGGCGGGTGGACGAGCTGCTTTATTCGGCTTTTAGTGCGGGTCTGGTTTCGGGAATGAGCGCAGTATTCAGGCGTCAGAAGAGGCTACTGCTGCTGTTATCGGCAGGGATGTTAATCCCGTCTGAATGGTCCATGGGCAGAGGCGCAAGGGAGGTTTTTGTGGGGTGGGATGCGCCCGACCCCCCCCCCCCTCCCTGTAGAAGAAAAAACACCAGAGAGCACCAATGTATTCTATATTTTTATAGAGAAAATATAGGCTGAAATGATAAATAAAATCGTATTACCTTTGGGGTTTTTTTGTTTTGTTTTTTTAGATTTATTTTATGTTTTTATTTTAAAAACAAGACAGTCCATGGGTGGAAAACCAGGGGACAGAGAGAGTGGGGAATGACATGAAGCAACAAGTAGTCACACATTGTACAATTTTCTAAAAAAGGCAGGACTAATATGTGCATAAAAAGAATGACTGCATTTTTCTAGATAGATTTTCTGTATTTTTGTATAATTCAATACATATCGCAGATAGATCCGTTTTTAACAATATTGTGCAGCCCTAAATGGAACAATCACATCTTAAAGGAAGAATGTGTGACTTTTTGATCCAGTAGATGTCGCCCTTAAGCTCCAGCATGAAACCAAAACAAACTGCTGTTTGGCCACACCTCCTCCATACTTAAGCCTCCGCTCTCCTCCAGAGACACACCTCCAACCCCTCTCCCCTCGAGCTTCTCACTCATTATAGACAGTCATGACTCAGAGACACATTTACACAGGATAGACTTGATTTCTGCTGTATTTATATTTTTTTTAAGATTTATTTTTGGGCTTTTTGTGCCTTTAATGGATAGAGAGGACAGTGGATAGAGTCGGAAACCAGGGAGAGAAAGTGGGGAATGACATGCGGGAAAGAAGCCACAGGCGGGAAGCGAACCCGGGCCGCCCGCTTGAGACGACAGCCTCCATACATGCACTAACCACTGCGCCACCAGCGCCCCTGTATTTATTTTTGAATAGTTGCTTTAAAAATTGAGCTTCCCTTTTAATTTTGTTCTAATGAGTCTTTAATGACGTCCTGTCAGATGTAACGCACTTTAAACTGCCACGTTGTCAAATATGCGATTCAAATAAATGAGTCTTTCCTTAAAGGCTTTATATGCGATTTTTTGATCCAGCAGATGTCGCCCTTGAGCACCAGCATGAAACCAAAACAACTTACACTGCATTGTTGTGTTACCATGCTAATGCTAGCGATCTTTATTATGCTCGTATCTTCACACTGTATGTAAATTTACCTGAAATGAGCGTGATCTAGAAACACAGTTAATCAGTGAGTACAGTATGTTATTCTTCTTTTCTCTAGTCCCTCAATTAAACAGCTTTTATACACGAGGCGAGGAGTCCGCCGGCCGTCCTGGCGATGTAAACAAAGTGAAGATAGGACTCGGAAAACTCTGAAAGCATCACAGACAGTGGGACTCGGGTGTTACACCCATTGTAGACAGTCATGACTCACAGAGTTATTTTCAGAGGATATACTTGATTTATATTACATTTAAGTGTGAAAAATCACATATAACGCTTTTAAAGAATGTTAGAATTTCTCGACCCAATAGGATTTGAGTTCTGAAGTTTTCAGAGATAATTCAACAAGTCATATCCATGCTGCCTCTCTTCGGCAGTAAGCGACTCTTACTGATGCTGGTAATGAATGCTGTGTTGACTAACGAGGCGGCTGCAGTGGTGCTCCGTGTACTTTAATGGCAGTCATGCAGGGTACTCAGATCTGCGTCTGCGGCCCACTGTGCTGGAGTCAGCAGAGGTCACAGGAACATGTGGCAGTGATGGTGACATGAAAAGCTTCACAGTATGGTCTGGCTCTCTGCCTTCCTCGTGGCCGCTCGGCTGTGTGTTTTTGTGTGGCGGGGTTTTATGCGTCAACAGATGTCTGCTCTGCTGGAAGCTGGACTCTGCAAAACCACAAAACCCTTCCACCAACTACTCTTTCCTGGACTTAAGCCCCTCTCACACATGCACTCACTCCTCTAAATTACCCAACAACATGCATATTTAACCAATATCTAAGTTTTGTATTATATTTGTTCCTAACATGATCCTTATGAAGCTGTTCTGAATTGTTTGCACCAGAGTTCTTACATTGATGAATGCCATGCCCTCACAACCTGCTCATGCATGTTCCTAATTAGCATTGAAAAACGCCCCTTGAATGCCCATATATGGGCACGAGATGCAGGGCTGTGTGCACACACAAGAAGGCACATAGGATTAAAAAAGAAGAAGCAAAGCGACGTCAAGAATGAGTTAAATATTTAAAAAGATGCACACTGGACTCCAAGGAAGAAATACTTTTAGTTGTTCCAAAATGGAGGAAAGAAAAACACAATTAGGCTGATTTATATTTTATTTAGTAGCATCAGTAGTGGATTTAAAATATAAACTACAAACTAAATTTGGATAACATCACTCGTAGTACAATCATGCCGTGCAGGAAGTCTTTTTAAGCCGCTCTGGTAGTGACTTGTCAATCATAAAATTGTTCTCCCCCTAAAGCAGACGTCGCTCTTTTGGTTTATTTTGCTTCATATCAGACCAGAATCTATCACCTGAACATCCTGTTGTGTTGTGGGACACTTTCAAATTATGGATTGAGACCATGAATTCTTGAGGATAATGGCTGATGAGGTGTAACATAGTTTGTCGTTCACAAGAACGTCTTGTGTGATAATAAAAAACGGTTGTACTCAGTCGTTACTGATTCAGGCTAAATGGAAACATACGTCTTCTCTTTCTCTTTGTTGCTTTTTCAGAGCTGTTCCCATGAAACTGTTACCTCTACCATGGATCAAACATTCATTTTTTCACAGCGCTAGGCCTCGTGGGACACGTTAAAATGTGCTGTTGCACTTTTGTGCCGCCTTGGAAGTTGTGAGAAATGACTTTTAACACATCTGTTGAATCATCGAAACCAAGCAAAAAAAAAAAAAAAAAAAAAAAGCTAAATAATACAAGGCCTCCAAATTCTCACTATCGTATATAGTTTCTTTTTGATTGATTCTAAAAGGGAATTTTTAAATGTTGACTCACTTAATTTTCATTCTTCCAGCAACACCCACTGCCCGAAAATTTGACCTAGAAAAATTGATCACTGAGGTTGCTTTAGTCAATATACAGTAGCCACTGTTATACACGGTGTCTAGATTTGAGAACCAGTAAGTCATCTCTGTCTGACTTTGCGACTGTGCCTGAAAAAAAACGCAAGTTTTACAAATACATGTCAGCAACTCACAGGCTGAGATTTGGCAGAGACGGGGTCACTAACGGCAGGACAGTATTTCCCATCATTCACTTGGAAGAAATTTACAGCTACAACTTTTGACTAGGTAATATATCTAGTTTATTCGGTAAGGAATTTCAAAGCTGGATTATGGGTGATGATATGACTATGCCAACCTTGATTGATAATTATATCAGAATTGGTTAAATAAAAGAGGACAGAAAGTTGGAATTTTTTAAGCAAGAATTTTGATAAATTCAAGTATTGTTGCACAAATTAAAGTCTTAAATTACCACATTAGCTTCAACAAAGTCTAGGATTAATTGTTTTTTTCATATACCCTTTTATTTCAATTTTGTTCATCTTGAGTTAAATTTAAATTTGTTAAATTCTGTTTCCCAAAACGATACCCTGTGTTTTGCTTTGTCTCCTGTTTCACTCAGAAGCGGTTTCCCAGTTTTTTATCAGAGCTGTATAGATTCACGTCATCTGCATATAAAACCAATTTTATCAGCTTAGACACTCAACATACATCGTTAAAAAACAGTGTGAGCAGTTTGGGGCCTAGTACAGATCCTTGCGGAACCTCACAAGTTTACCACAATAAATGAGATATCTACAATTCTAAAATGTATTTATGAGAAGCTTAAATCCAAAGCGACATCAGAGAGTAAGAACAACACAAGCGAGGATCTAGAGAGGAGGAAACAACCACAGGAAGTGCAAACTAACAGCTTTAAGACAGATCAGACACACAGGTGATGACAGGAAGTGACCAGAGGCAGAGGACAACGTCTACAGCTATTTTTGAGAGTTCTAATCATTATCGTCATTATCAAACAAAACCATCATCATTATCGTCATCAATAATATCAGTAAGTGCGTAGGATATCACATTATTTTTAAATATTTTTATCTTTCATCGATAGAACTTTTTTTTTTTTTTAAGATTTATTTTTGGGCTTTATCGGAGAGATAGGACAGTGGATTGAGTCAGAAATCAGAGAGAGAGTGGGGAATGACGATGGCAAGGATTCACAGGTCAGATTCAAACCTGGGCCGCCCACTTGGAAGACTACAGCCTCTTACATGGGCACTAACCACTGCGCCACCAGCGCCCCATCGATAGAACTTTTTAACCACGTTGGTCCCATTGAGATTAAGAACCTCTTTTCCAAGGGAGACCTGGCCGACAGCCAGCTCTACTATGAGTATGCTGAGCCTCTCCAGTTTCTTTAGAAGTCTGAAAAAGTCTGTAAATACCACAACTGTAGACCAAATTGTCTATTGCTGATATTTCTTCCACCCACTCTTACCACTGAAAATTAATTCAATGACATGACACCAGATTGTGCAAGTGGTTGATTATCACGGTTTGCTTTCCTTTACTTTAGTACGAAGGTGACTCATCCTATTATCAAACTAAGTTCAGCAGAATCAAGATATGTTTCACACCTTAAAAAACTCATCTACCTGATCATTAAAGTTTCGATGATGAAATAAAGGATTTAAAATGTTAGAATGACAAAAAAAAATACAAATGTAAATGAAGCAGTTTTTTGTGTGTTTCCATGATTCATTTATTTAAATAAGACACTTTGAAAACCACCTAATGCGTGACAGCATACATGCCGGACTCAAATCAATCAATCTGTGTTTGTATAGACACAGCGAGTCAAAGACCTTACTCTTTGTTATCTTACAATGACCCAAAGTTAATCCATCATGAGCATTAAGCGACATTTATCAAAGTTACAGGGCAAGAAAAAACGTCCTTGGGCTAAACCAGACTCATGACTAACATGG